ATCCGAAGAATTACAGGAATATTTAAAATAGAATGGTGAAAATTAAAAAAAAAAAAAAAAATTGGTGATACGGCATGATTACATATGCTATAAAATTAATTAATTAGTAGTGAGATGATTGCATCATAAATTTAATAAAAGTTCTAACTTTCAGCTGCTATCGAAAATGACATGGCAGTGTTTACTGGTCAAGAAATAACTGCCATTGCTTACCCATCTAGAGACTGTGTCAGAATCCATATTATTGTACTAGAAGCAAACAGAAACCATTTGTCGGTTGATAAGTATGGAGCAGTATTGAACGTCGTAGCGCATGAAATGTACAGCAAGCCAAGTATGCACGACTATAAAAATAATTTCATGAATATTTAGACAATTAATTAAGGTCCCATTTTTTGACTGTAGAAATTCTCGTCGTCATTTGATCTCTTTTTCTAAAACTCACTTTTTTTTTTTGTAATGCTTTGATTTTTTGTTTATTACCTGTTTAAAAAACAATATCTCTCGTTCGTTAATAGCGCCACTAGTTGACAATGCCACATTTTTCCGCATTGCCTGAAATTCAAGAAAAAAAAGCATTTGAAAAGATTGCAAACTAGTCTTACTGTATATCCTAAATACATGAAATATTACCACCTTGTGAATATCACTATGCACTGATATAATCGTTCATCAGAAGTGGAAAAAAAAAAAATAGAAAAGAACTTACTCTTTGATATGCTATTATTTTGAGCAAAGTAGCGAAATCGATACATGCCATTCCTAGTACTATTCCTACAGTTGCAACAGTATCAGTATAGGAACATATTTTACCATAGAAAGAACTTTGAAAAGAAAAACGATAGTTCGAATTTTCATTAAATACAAATGAGCATTCTTCTGAAAAGAATATTTTCTAATTTTAAAACAAACTAAATTAGCAGAATAAGTGAACATCCTGATATCATTTTATGATACTATGAAAGATAACATTCGATTTAAGCTTGGGGACAGTTTGTTTGCTCGTGATCAAAATCCCATAATCGTAATCAGTAATCAACATAGCTATCAATTAATAGTGAAGAATTCATTTAAGTCTTCACAAACTTTTATTAAACAATCTGATTTATAATTGAAACAGATCAAATAGCTTTATTATTATAGATTTACTATATAGATGTTGGGTGGAGAAGAGTAGTCCAAATGCCCAACAACAGATTCCAATAAAGAAAGCCCTGGATTTTGACCATAACTGATCATATTTTGTTGCATAAACGAAAGCACAGAATCTGTTAAGAGCAGTGAAGAAATGCACTAAAAGTGATCCAAACCACGCTCCATTTGCTAAAACGCCAACGAATCGTACAGGAAATAATTCCGGTGATGATAGTATTGAAGATTTCCTGAAGTAGATTCTTTCTTTTTTTTTTAAACAAAACAAAAAAGGAAAGGAAAATTTTGGAGAAAAAAAGTGAGAGGAAGAATTTCCGTAATGTAAATGAAACTTACAGACTTAGAACAATGGTACACCACGTGAGAAGGACAATTATAGCTTGCAAATTACAGATTAGAAAGCTACTGCATAAAATTCCAAATGCATTACGGAAACGTGATCTTGTACGTGTTAAATAAAAGGACAAGCCATTGCTAATCAGTCCAAAGACCGATATCTATAATGCATTCTGTTAAAGTAATAAAACCGATTAACTTAATGAATTTGTATGAAGATGGTAATCTCCAAATTCAGTGTTTACGTTTATGATCTTAGGATTTTAACAAAATCAAATATCAGTACCTCAATATTTGTTGCAAGTACTTATATTTTTTGTGTTAGCTGCTAGAAAGGGACTGACTGATGGTTCTAATTTTATTTAAACCAAATTTAATAATCAATCATATATTTGTTGAAATACTAACCGCAACGATGCAGCCCATTGCAATATCGTCTTCAAATTCACTATTCTCAGACATTATGGTGCACTTGAAGGTATCTGCCAAAATACTATTACTTTTAACGATTAAGCATAATTCGATAAGCAAGTTAAGCCTATTCCATTATGGGCAATGATTCGACGAGTGCTATCGAATAAGACATTGATAGGAAGGATAAGTCAAAGATGTATTACTACTACTTATTTTCATTAATGAAAGCATGTTCTCAAATATTAAATTTGAAATTGAATTTAAGGGTAACTAGGAAATTTCTACCCTTAAATAAGAAGTACACGGGACGTTGTAAACAAGAGATGTTTTCCTGATGATATGTTCATACTTCTATCAACGCAATTAGGTTAATAATGCTGGTGATAATGATGATGAGTATTTGTAGCACTTGCAACAATTGCATAAAATATACAATGTATTTGGATCCATCCGCAAACATTAATGAATGTTAAAGACGAAGTAATTATTATATTTACTATTTCCGTTTAAAATTTTATTCCGTTAATAAAAATTCATCACAGATGTTGTTGCATTCGCGTTATTATTGTTAATGCTTTAAAAAAATCTTTACATTCTTCTTAGTTAAAAATTTTGTTCAAAAGTTAACGACGATTTGATACATTCATTTAGTTTTTTTTATTTCAATTAATGCTTTAATTTCAATTATTGAAGAGGAAGAACTGACGCAAATTCATTTCGATACATTTTTCTGAGTAAAGTACTTTTCCTATTTATATTCAAAATCATTCAGTATCTCTTCTCAGTTTTCTAAAATTTAAAACATCTTTTCAACAACGGAATAATTGACAATGAGAAGAGAGAGCTAATGAAAGAAAAGCTCAATTTTATTTCTTGAGATTTTGATTTGGAGCGCTTGACGCTCTTGCATTATTAAATGGTTACAATTGGTTTTACAATAAATTTCGTCCGTATAAAAATCTTAATTTTTGCTGTTTCCAATTTCAATATGCTTTTTATTAGTTTACAAATAAAATTTCATTCTATACAAATGATTAAGTGCCGAGAAGATTTGAATTATTCGGTTCAATGGTGCAAGAAGACTTTGCTTACAAAGTTATATAAATCTATTTTTAAAACGAAATGTTAATTATAAGATAATATGTTTAAAGAAGTCTAAAATCATATGATGCAAAAGAGAATAAAAGAAATCTTCAAAGTGAACATTCCGCAAAAAATAAATTCTTCATAAAAGATGTAGATAATAGTAATGAAGTGAATTTTCAAGAAGAAAATAAGAAAGTCATTTTCAACTGTAGAACAAAAAAAAAAAAAAAAAAAAAAAAAACTGTTCGAGAAGAGAGTTAAAGCATGAATTTCTTAGTGAAACTAACAACTTAGCACGTTAGTTGATTTATTAAATTAAATCTTCTTGTGATCATTTTGCAGCAATTATCTCCTGACTACGACAACATATAATGTCAAATATAGGTCAAACATCAAATTAGCAAATGGGTCTATTGTTAATACTACAAATGTTATTTGTTATTAAGACGATATCAAATAAATAACATTTAATTTTCTCACAATGCAGTGGTAAAACATTCGATAAATTTTTGTGTTCACCATCAGTTTTTTTTTTATGGATAAAGCAATGAAAAATATCTGAGAAATAACTTTAAAATAATATTAAGAATGGATAACAATGAAGAAATTGGAAGTTTGATTTCATCGTGTAAATAAATTTTGTTACATATTAAAGCCAATGCCTAAAGAGAAAATTTCACATGAATCTGTTGAAATTCATGTACTAATTATATTGTATGAAGGACGGTAAATCTATATTTGATGAAACCAGAATCAGTGTTAAAACTGATTATAATGGTATAATAAAAAGTGAAAAATTGACAGACTTCAAAAAAACGGAAATACCGATTTCATGGTATTATTATAATCAGTTTCCTGCATTAACATAACTCTAACTTTTATGAATTTTCCAGAATTTGGATGGCTATTAACAGATTTCTAAGAACCATGCGGATTTCAAAAAGCTTATTCTTGTGTTAATAAAATTTTTTTTTTCTCACTCTCAATATGTTTTACTTTGTTTCTCATAATATTGGCTAAGCAAACGATTTAAGTCCCCGAAAACTTGCAGAAAACAAATTTTGATTGCCTCATTGCTGTTGTATGAACAATTGACAACATCAAAGTATAATTAGAATAATTTAGGAAATTCTTTACTTGTATAAGAAAAAAAAAATACTTTTCAACTTCTCTTTTTTGTCAGAATAATATTCTCTAAAGTAACATTTCAAGTTACCACGAAACAATCGCTAACAAACAGATCACTAATCTTTTTACGAGATGATCACTAGCAACAAGATCTACTCTAAATCTTTCTTCTGCCGGAATTTATATATTTAACCTTTAATTTCTGATATCCTTGAACTGAAAGCTTTGTATTTTTCTACCGAATGATTCATATAAACAGTTTAAAATTTTTTCACTTTTAAAAATTATTAATTATGTGCTTTTTAGTGTCTTTTAAGAAGATGTCAATTCGGAAAATAAGACTTATAAAGAGTTGCAGATAAATAAATGCTAATACGGAAAATGAGAGTTGTGAGGAGCTGCAGAAAACTTTAACGAGCTGACTTGTTTGTCAATCCAACACATATTATTAGTGTGGCAGCTTGTGTATTATTATATAAATTAATGAATCAGACCGTGTGACATTCCATAATACGAAATTATAAATTCACTGCTTTTGCTTATTTTGAAACTGATTTGAGATTATCACTGCTACTACATAAATGCTTGTCGCCCAAATCATATTCCGGTTGAAAATTCATGGAAAGCAAACGATAATTTTGAACAGAATAGTGAAAATGAAATTAATTTTTAAAAAACTTAAATTTGCATAAATTTGGACACTATTCAGTGATTATGTATTTCGTGCCAAAATACAAAACTGGAAAATTAAAACGTACCTCATTGTATAAAGATGTGCTGTCAAATTGATCAACAAATAGAGCAATAATATTTGACAATAAAATTTTTGAATTAAAGAAAACAAAGAAAGAAAAAAATTTTTCAATCTTTACATATCCAATAAGTCATTGAATCAGGATCCACATTATAGTGTATGATGCAAACAGTAATAAATTACTGAGCAACAAATACTGCGAAAAAAAAAATGTAAAGTAAGCCAAGCAGATATGACTATAAAGCTGATTTCAATGTATAATAATTATAGAACTTGAATTTCTGTCCATTACCTGTTTGAAGAATAATACTTCTTTTTTGTTGAAAGCACTACCAGTTGACATTGTAACATTTTTTCGTAGTGCCTGAAATTCGGTAAACAATCATTGCTGTATATCAGATTTTAAGCTTAACTTGCAGGGAAAAAGATGCATGCATGAAGAAGAGTTATTTAAGCAATCCTTTGTCAAAAGTAAGCTTACTCTGCGATATGCAAGTAATTTGATCAAAGTAATGGAATCAAGGCATGCCATTATCATTACTATAAATACTGATAATGCAGCATCGGCATTGCCACAAACTTTGCCATAATAGGAATCTCCATAGAAAAAGCGATAAGATGAATTTTCATTAAATAAAAGCGAACAATCTTCTGTAAATAGTTTCTGTATAAGAATCAGTACAAAACTACAAACATAAAACCAATGTTAATAATAATTTAAATCATTAATAGATCCTTTTAAAGACAGTGATTCGTTTGAGTGTTCATTGAGATTGCGATAACAAATTCTCTTTCAAGGCATTGTAAAAGGTATCTATCACTCAGTGAAATTGTCAAAGTATTTGCTGCTTAATAAAGGTGACAAAGCATCTGCTTAAATATGATAAGGGTGGTAATAAAGGTAAAGGTAAAGGTTGATATAGGTGACAATCTTTTCCTGTTAAAACAAACTTACTATATAAATGTAGCATACATAAGGAAGTTCCAGTTGTCCATGAGATGATTCCAACAATTAAACTTCTTGATTCTGACCATAATTGCTTGTATCTTATTGGATATAAAACAGCACACAAACGATTAAGGGCCACAAAGAAATGTATCAAAAGTGTCCCATAATATGGGCCATTTACTAGAACGCCTACTAGTCGAGCCAAAAATAACTCTGATGACGACAATATTGGAGATTTTCTGAAAAAAATTTTCGTAGGAATAATAAGTAACTTTGGCATGAATATTCAACAAATTAGTGTAACTTACAAAGCTAAGACAATGGTACACCACGTGAAGAGCACAGATATTTCAGAATTTAAATCGATCGAAGTTACTAATTAATTAGTTTTTTGAGTAAAATATCTACTAGTACAATAAAAAAACATTGCAATGCTCTCTTCAAAATTATTGCTTCTGACGTTGTGGTGCTGTATTTGTGCCTGTAAAGAAAAAAAGAATTAACAATGGGGAAGATATTACCCATATAGACCTTAATATTTGAGGTGCTACCAACAAGTGCGTGAAATGAAGCACTTAGCTTGAATTCTTTGAAATATAAATAATAGATAAAATGAAATTTTAGAACTATGTATTACTGATATTTAATTGAACATTTTCTTAATTTTTAGTAATAAATTGTTACCAAAAGATGATGAAAACAAGATAATGAATTCTTTGAAATATATGAAATAGATGAAATGAAATTTAAATTACTATTTCAATAATTTAGCACATTTTCATTAATGAGTGTCACCAAAAGGTGTGCAATATATGTTTCATACCACTCTTCAACCTAAAGGAAAAATGATTCAAGCGTTGATATCGTCAAAGAGTAAGTTTAGTTGAAATAATTGAACAGCAAAATTTCAAAGGATTACATTTGCAGTGACAGAGATTAAAAAGGCAAAATAGACATGTTGGAATGATTACTAAGTTTACTGAAATCAACCTGACCTTTTTTACATATCGTTTCGTCTACACTTTTCTCAGAATACATGTGGCAAAAATATTCAGTATTTGTTTCTAATAAAATAATGAATTTATTGAATTTAAATTACTTTCTGGCAGATTTTAATTATTTGTTCTACACTTTCATGAAAGTTCTCGATTGTTCATGTAACGACAAAAGAACATTCAAAACTTTCATCACTATGAATATTTGTTTCTTCATGTATCGATGAACAAAAAATATAAAGTTGATGCAACAGTTTTAAGGAAATCACATTTTAACAATTTTCAACCAGTAGAAAATCAATGGAAGTAAGCTGAACACTGCAAATTTTCCTTCCATTAAACAACAAATGAGTAAAAATGCAAATAACATTTAATCCATTGAATTTAACTCAGATGACAATATTTACATCCTTCAAATGTCTAAATGAATTATGTTGAATATTCAAAACATTCATAAAAAAATCCAACGTAATGATATTTAAGGAAATAAAGATAGTTCAATAGGTCAATCTCTGGAGAAAATAAATCAGCTACGATATTTTCCTTTTGAATCAATGATTCATACAACGAACTAATTAACAAATGATATGATTCACATTCACCGGAACCGGTTTGAAAAATCAATAAATGATTCTTACAATGTTAGCGTCAGTCAGAATTATTACGATTGTTCTCGATAGGAATAATTGTCGTTTTATCAAGAAGAAATATGAAATTAAGCCTGAACATGATAACTGATAGAACGCATTGCGAATACGTAATCGTAAAGATAATTAATTTGTTATTTTGGCACACTGTGCATTTCAATTCAAAATTAATAATACCTAGTGAAAGCAATTTGTAACCCTCAAATTTAAATGTGACATGTAAGGGTTAATTATAGCAGAACTAAAGGTTTTGAATTCTCAAGGTTTTAATGAATTTCAATTGGAACTAATCCTAAACACGTCCCATTCAAATACGAAAAAAATTGTTGGTAGCGATAATATTGCATTTTTCTAAAATTATTTTTTTAATCTAAATAAAAAGTAAAAAATCAGAGATTGCAAACTATTACTAATTAAATATGAAAAAGCAATTCAGTTGATTTTTGTTTTTCTTTTCCAAACGCATAAAAATTGTAATTGTTTGTATATACAAAATTTCCAATAAAATTGAAACGAAAAATTTCGATTTCACACATTGCATTGATAAGAATCACAAACATATCTTCATGAAAGATCCCTTGTTTACAACATCGGATATTTCTTATAGGTGGGAATTTTTCCTTATTCTACTTAAATTCAATTTCAAATTCAGTACATAGAAAAATGTTCTCGAAAATAAAAGTAAGTGGTGATTATGAACTTTTGCACTTATTCATTTTCATCTATTTGCTAGCTTCGTTTATTTTATTGTCCATTGCTCATAATATTTACGATCACTGCAAAAAAAATTGAATGAGTCTATCGAATTTGAGTTAATTCTCAAAATTTATTGTATACTTATTCAATACAGTAATGGGAGGATACAATCATTTTGATGATAGCATAGCAATGATTTGCATTGCCATGGTTAGTGTCATCAAATAAAAGTAATCATTTATTTTTCAATAATAATAGAATGAAGAAAGACAGACAGGTATCATTCATTAATTGACATAGTGTTTTCGTTCTAGTAGACACACATTGTAATGAATATCAAAGAATATGGATTGTAATCTTGATTATGAATAGTAGAGCTACTTAATTTTATAATTAAATAAGCATTATAGGTGTGGTTATTTGGATTCGTCAGTAATGGTTTATCTTTGTACATAACACGTACGAGGTCACACTTCCGTAATGCGTTTGGGATTTTATGCAGCAGTTTTTTGATATGCAACTTGCAATCTATATCGGTGCTCTTTACATGGTGTACCATTGTCTTAGCTTTGTAAGTTACACTAATTTGTTGAATATTTATGCCAAAGTTACTTGTTATTCCTACAAAATTTTTTTCAGAAAATCTCCAATATTGTCGTCATCAGAGTTATTTTTGGCTCGACTAGTAGGCGTTCTAGTAAATGGCCCATATTATGGGACACTTTTGATACATTTCTTTGTGGCCCTTAATCGTTTGTGTGCTGTTTTATATCCAATAAGATACAAGCAATTATGGTCAGAATCAAGAAGTTTAATTGTTGGAATCATCTCATGGACAACTGGAACTTCCTTATGTATGCTACATTTATATAGTAAGTTTGTTATAACAGGAAAAGATTGTCACCTATATCAACCTTTACCTTTACCTTTATTACCACCCTTATCATATTTAAGCAGATGCTTTGTCACCTTTATTAAGCAGCAAATACTTTGACAATTTCACTGAGTGATAGATACCTTTTACAATGCCTTGAAAGAGAATTTGTTATCGCAATCTCAATGAACACTCAAACGAATCACTGTCTTTAAAAAGGATCTATTAATGATTTAAATTATTATTAACATTGGTTTTATGTTTGTAGTTTTGTACTGATTCTTATACAGAAACTATTTACAGAAGATTGTTCGCTTTTATTTAATGAAAATTCATCTTATCGCTTTTTCTATGGAGATTCCTATTATGGCAAAGTTTGTGGCAATGCCGATGCTGCATTATCAGTATTTATAGTAATGATAATGGCATGCCTTGATTCCATTACTTTGATCAAATTACTTGCATATCGCAGAGTAAGCTTACTTTTGACAAAGGATTGCTTAAATAACTCTTCTTCATGCATGCATCTTTTTCCCTGCAAGTTAAGCTTAAAATCTGATATACAGCAATGATTGTTTACCGAATTTCAGGCACTACGAAAAAATGTTACAATGTCAACTGGTAGTGCTTTCAATAAAAAAGAAGTATTATTCTTCAAACAGGTAATGGACAGAAATTCAGGCATTCTCTATGAAATATATTTTTACCAACTTAAAATAAGTGTTAGAATTATTAAAATTGATCTATGTAATAACTTTTATTATTTCTCCAAACACTGTATTTTCCTGAACTACGATTACTCTCCCACTACGATGAAGTAGGCATCAATGATCGGAAACTCTTCAAACTGTGCTGTGATGAGACATTTCAATGACATTTTGTACAATACTGTGACACTTGTAGTCCTGCTTGGTTAGCTTCATCTACACAGCATCCGTTGCCGTATTAATAACTCATCCATTTCTATTTACAAATAAATGGCTTTTATTCTTGTCGAGTACAATTATATGGATACTGATGCAATCAACGGATGGGTATGCAACTTTTACATTTTTCTAATTAAAATTGATAAATCAGAATAATAAGATTTGATTAATTATTCTACCTGCATATACCATAATACCTTCATCGTTTTTTTTCAGTTTTATCAAGAAAATTTTCTAATTCTTGCATTCAAATATTTTAAATTGAATTACTTATATTCACTTTCTACTGCTGCTTGAATGATAATTCATTTTCAGATTAGTCCTTCTAATTTTCAATTTCAAAATGATTTGGAAAACAAATTCCTGGGTACCGACATCAACAATAGCACCAGCGACGACCATTCATCGGCTTCACACTATCACGAGACACTGAATTGTATTCTTATCTTGTTTGTTGATTATTTCGACATTTCTTCCAGTATTAAATATATCAAATATTAGCGTCCATTGTTACGAGTAGCTATTTTTTATATTTTATTTTTCAACTGAAACTTCCTAAAATTTCATTTGATAAAAGTTGCGAATTTAGTTGTAACCAAATTCATTTGTATGATATTATCAGTTTCTTCTAGCATGGATTCAAGTTTTTTTTTTTATTTGATTTAAATTTGGCATGTAAAATTTAACTAATTTAATGTCATCACAAGTTGTGTAATACATGCTATAAAGTATTCAGTTCTAAAGTATTTAGTTCAGATAAATGTAAGAATTGTTTGTAAAAAATAATTAAACTTATAACTCATAACCAACAACGGCAATACAATTCATTGCAGTATTGCTTTCAAGTATTATATTGTTATTGTCATTATTGTCACTTGAAGAAATAAGTTGAAATTAAAGCAAGAAACATTTTTATTAACAAATGTACTAAGCTTTATTATCAACTTTTTTAATATAACTTTTTCGGCATATATACATTTCTTTCATTTCTTCAACTTTGACCTTTATCATCGATTTGGTGATCAAACTAACAAGTCAACTGAAAGATAACTATTTTAATTGATATGTTTCTGTGATAGTTTAAAGCATTTGTATGAAACTCAACAAAATGGCGAAGTTTTCAGCAGCAAATTTGAAGAAGTGGTGTATACAAGGTTCACACTGGAAGTTTGTATTGCTTAGAACCACAAAAAGATGAATTCCGGTTTTCCGTTATTTTAAATAATTCACATCACTATTTTGAGCAGTACAACTGATAAAAGATAAAAATGTAATTGATGAACAGATTTGAAGCGAAGTCATAATTAATTAACTAGTACAGAAGATGCGATTTGAATAATGAAAACAAATATAGCTAATATAAATTGTTGGAAATGTGCCACTGCGATTTTTCTTGATCGCAATTCTCGTTGACAGTAGTAACTGTGACATTGTCAACGCGAGACGAAAGAACTTTTACTTACGCACAGATTGTCAAACAAAAAAAAAGAAAATAAGAATTAGCCACATAGGACACACATAAAAACAAGTAGCAATGATAATAAAATTTCAGCTGAAACTTTAGCAGATATAAACATAGGAAACAAAATAACCTCAAAATCTTAGCATTATTTGCATAACTTTAATAAATAGATTTGTGCAAAGTTAATAATATAAATTTACAGTGACAAAATAACAAGGCAACAAGTAATCTTCCTACAATGAATTTTCATTTTAGACAAAAGTTGAAATATAAGAAAAAGATTTTAGCATATTCTTTCAAAGTCTTTCGCCCTTCTTATCTTTTTGCAAACCGAATTCATCTGCTCCAGTAATTTTTAAGTTTTACATTGTTATCTTTGACTACTTCGAACTTTGTCAACTTTACTCCTCTCTTCTATCTCTACAATTTCCACTTCTGGTACCATTGCTGGTATTTGACCAGCGCCAATTGTTTTCACAATTACAGGTGTCATACAGTGTACAGTAACCCGTAGTTGCGGGTCAATATATATGCTTGTTGCAAGTTTCACGCTGTTGCAGTTACTAGACCAAATAGATAGCACTTGCTTAGATGCAAACGTGAAATGACCCTTCTCGCATGGCGTATGCGTACGTATAATCAATTTCATTTGTAGTCGTACTATAAATTCCTCAATTGCTTTAACACCAAAAAGATGACCACGACCACCTAAAAATAAAAAAAAAAATGAAAGATTGATCATTTTAATATAAAAGAAATTTTCATTTCTGATTTTACTAGTCGAAATTACATCGACAGATCTTATAAAAACAATTTTCAGCATAGTATTTCAAATGTTTCAGAATTGGAGAATACTAAAATTTTAATATGATTGAGTTAAAAAGAAAAGCAATTAATTGACAGAGTAATTTGATAACACCTATTATCTAGCTTAATATTATCAGTAATATTTTTTAACTTTCTATTATTTACTAGATGAATAACTAATTGCGCTAAACAACTCCGATCACGTCATACGCTTAAATTAGCGTGCTCATTAGAGTAACCGAAAATGAGCAAACGTTATACTTGAGTAAGGATGAATCATCATGTTTTAGTATTGAATAAAAAGTTCTTAGTTTATCTCCGAGAACGTCAATGAGTGTCGAGAACAAGCTCGAAATTCCACTAGAAATAATCTTTGTACCGAACAATCGAATTTAGCAAAGGGTCAAATTTAAATCAATGTATTTATATTTAAGCAAATCATGTTAATCATTTATTGTAAGTTTTATTGTAATTCAAATTCCTTAATGACTCATAATCCTTTGTTTGTTATCTAATTCCGTTTACAAAAACTATCTTTCCCATAGTCTTCTTGCTAGCTTCCATTTTATCAATCGCTTTATCTCTCCACCCTCAAATCATCCTATATAAGGGCAATTACCACTCAACCGGGGCAGTCTTCCCAGTCTCCCCGTTGCTTAGCTCATCCTCCTCACTAAATTGTCCTACTACTGATTGCTTGTTTGGTTTAATTACCCAAGATTGAGCACTCGACTCAATTGTGCAAGTAAACCAACCCAATCCAATCCATTCACAACAAATTTATGGTGCCACGAGCCGGGAACATGTCATCCATCATCATCAGAAACGCAGACCAAACAAAACGAAGATTGTGTGAAGTCCTCAACGAAATCAAGCGTCTGAACTTGGATTCGGTCGACCAAATGACAACAACTGACGAAACAATCCGTCTTCATCAGGAACGGAGAAGGATCACCCAAGAAAAAATCATGCATATCCAAATATACATAGAGGCGTTGGAATCGGTCAATACAGAGTGGAAACAATTCATCCAGCAGATTTCAGTGTCAACCAAAAGAAAAGAAGAAGAAGATCGATACCTTCAGATAAACGACGATGAATCAGGTATTACCAACTTAATTTTACAAGCAAAACAAACTGTAGGGTATTTACCCGCTTGTGTGGGTTCCTTGGGTTGAGTTGTTTCCTCCCTTACCATAGACTGATTTAGCCGTTGTAATATGAACTCCGAATCATTTTGATACATTTTTAAAATGACTACAGTTTGTTTTTCTTGTAAAATTAAGTTGGTAATACCTGATTCATCGTCGTTTATCTGAAGGTATCGATCTTCTTCTTCTTTTCTTTTGGTTGAGACTGAAATCTGCTGGATGAATTGTTTCCACTCTGTATTGACCGATTCCAACGCCTCTATGTATATTTGGATATGCATGATTTTTTCTTGGGTGATCCTTCTCCGTTCCTGATGAAGACGGATTGTTTCGTCGGTTGTTGTCATTTGGTCGACCGAATCCAAGTTCAGACGCTTGATTTCGTTGAGGACTTCACACAATCTTCGTTTTGTTTGGTCTGCGTTTCTGATGATGATGGATGACATGTTCCCGGCTCGTGGCACCATAAATTTGTTGTGAATGGATTGGATTGGGTTGGTTTACTTGCACAATTGAGTCGAGTGCTCAATCTTGGGTAATTAAACCAAACAATCAATCAGTAGTAGGACAATTTAGTGAGGAGGATGAGCTAAGCAACGGGGAGACTGGGAAGACTGCCCCGGTTGAGTGGTAATTGCCCTTATATAGGATGATTTGAGGGTGGAGAGATAAAGCGATTGATAAAATGGAAGCTAGCAAGAAGGCTATGGGAAAGATAGTTTTTGTAAACGGAATTAGATAATAAATAAGGATTGGAACAGATGTGCATTAGATAATATGACAGATTAGCATGGGAATTTGTTAACACATTACCATCTATGAGTCATTAAGGAATTTGAATTACAATAAAACTTACAATAAATGATTAACATGATTTGCTTAAATATAAATACATTGATTTAAATTTGACCTTTTGCTAAATCCGATTGTTCGGTACAAAGATTATTTCTAGTGGAATTTCGAGCTTGTTCTCGACAATGAGAGAATTTATAAACGAGAATGATAATTTCATTATTTCGATTCATAACATCTAATCATCACAACTTGATTCAATTTCAGATGTGCTAACCTTTAATTTTTTGAAATCTTTCAACAGCAGTACTCGGCATTCCCAGTATTAAATCACAGAGAATTCGATAGTTCCATTTCAACGGTGGCCTTTCAATTTTCTTTATTACTTCAAGATTTTCTAGCTGGAAAATTTATTTGTTCAACTCATCAATTTTTCCAATCAATAATGAACTGACAAAACTCTTAATCGAATTTTCAATATTAGTACTTATTTCAGTTATTCCTGTCTTTTAAAAAAAAAAAAAAAAATGATAATAAAACTGGCAGAAATTCATGTACTAACTTGTGAACTGATACCGGAATGTACGGCAAAAATTGTATTGCCAATTGTAGCAGCGATAGGCATTTCAGAGCAAATTCTCGTGATAAACGCTGACAACACTATGCATAGCTTAACCGGAAAACGTTTTCTAACTTGAAAAGGGAAAAATTCCGTAGCTCCACGTATTATATAAATGTGATTTGGTGTGGTCACCTACAAAATTTGAAATTAACAAACAAAGTTTTCTGTAGATGAATCAATAATACCTATTTATTATTCGGCTTAACATGTGATATTAATTGTTCATTTGCACTGATATCAACATTAGTTATCACAGTGTTCAAAGAAATTTAATTTGAAATTTCATTTAAAATGAAAATTTTAAAACATACTTTATACGCTGCCAGAAAAGCAAGTGTTTCAACAGATTCAGCACATTCTTGATCGATGATACCACCAAGAAAAAGATATCGCCGTTTTGGTGGATATCCATATAATTGGAACCAACGTAATAAGTCAGAATACCTAATTAATTAAAATAAGATGCTTAATTTGGATTACATTCTAAAATACAATCCAAGAGTGATTTTAAAATTTATTCTTGCTTTTAAATATATAAATTGATGATATTTGTTTTGAAATGGAATGAAAAGCTGACCGTCCACGAAGTTCACCGATTACCACAACATCAGTTGAAATTTCTAGAAGTGAATCTTCTGTACGTAAAATTTCACTTAGCTGTAAAAAATATTTTATAATAATTTTACATTTCATTCAAAAAAATTATGAAATTTGAAATTGCTTTTCTAAGTAGCAAAGAATAATTTGAAGAAATTTACTAATTTTAGAATGTAAATATTTCTCTCAAAAATCTCTGCACGAGAATTGAGCAACAAAAATTTTGAATGAATGGATACCTCCGACAAAAGCTCATATAACTCAATTCCTTCAATGTCAAAGAATCCTGGTCCTTGTTCAATCATACGAATTAAAAGACTTTCAAATTTGGTTGGTTCAATACGTGTAATCTAAATTAATAAACAAATCTAACTGAAATTTTCAGTCATGAACAGTTCCATTAAAACGTTTAATAAATTCACTAAATTATGCTGACATTGAGAAAAAAAACTTATCTTTTCCTGTCCTGCAATTCTTTCAGATGAACTGAGTCATATAATTCCCTCGGTTTTATACTTATTTGGTTTTTTTTTTTTCTTTCGCTACTAATTTTATTCTTTTCGATTTACTTTAACTTCCAGGTATTTTTCCAAATATTGTTATAATTGTATGAGGTAAAGAGATAATAAGTTTAGAACAGGTGATCGATTCACGCAGGTATGAATTTACTATCTGCTCAACTAGTACAATTGACAGAAAAATAATAAATTTGCGCCAAGTCATCAAATCAAGAAATAATGCCGAAATGTTTGCTAAAAAAGGAATTACCACTGCATAGTCAAAGCCCAATGATTCGTGAATCTCATAGTTCACGTAAGTGATTTCTTCGAAAGGTGTCCTAACTGTTGGTTCCTCCACGTTACCTCTGTATTCTGCTAAAGCTCTCATAGCTTCCGCAAATTCCTCAATATTTAAACAACCATCGAGAGGTTCACCAGTTATCTGCAAATTTTTTGCATTCATTTTGCAAAACTAATTACTTCAGTGTTAATTAAATTTCTTTTTTTTTTTTTTTTTTTAAAAAGGATTAGTCATAAAATTTTAAACAATTCACAAAATTCAATTTTCTAAAAAGATTTCTTTTTATTTTTGCATTGAAATTTTAGAAAAGAATTGAACAGTACTGGTGGTGAATCTTTGAATATTATTCCTTCTTTTTGCAATAATTCGAAATCCAATTTTGGATTATATTCAATTTTTTTATATGCCTCAATCATCCATTCATGGACCAATGTTGATAGTATTGGATAAGAGATAAAAAATAATAGAAGAAATGGCGTCAATAAACGAGCCAGGATTTGCATACCTGGTAAAAAGCTGAATTTCTTTTTCTGCAATCAGAAAACATTTAGAAAATTTTAATATTAAATTCGATTTAAATTCATTTTCTTGCAAATTAAATGCTCTACAAGCAAATGGTTGAATTAGAAATAACGATTCTTCACGTATCCTCACGGATTTGACGTTTTTTTTTTCAATTAAAAAAGAAAGTAAAAACAAATATTTCAGTAAAGCATAATTTTACCTATCTAGCTGCATTTGTTTCAAATATAAAATTTAATTTTAAATATTCCATTGTGAAGTAGACGAAATAAGACAAATGTAGAAAGTTTAAGATAATTTATAATGCAAAAATCTGATAAGCAAAAAGTTTTAAAGTAGATTGATTGATGAATTATTAATGAAAATTAACTAACTAACAGTAATAGCAAAAAGCGGCGTTTCTTCCCAGTTGCATCGGTCAGTTAAGCAACATTTGATATCATGAGTTAAATTGCGCAGCAAACACCATTCTCGATTTAAAGGCACTCTTGGACATTGCTTTTTACACCATCCTGTCACGTCACAGTGAAAACTGACTCGTATTTTGCGTGACCGAAAAAAAAAAAAACGAACTACATATTTTGTTTCAGGACTAAATTTATTTTAAATTTTGCTACATTTCAGCTGATACAATAATAGAGGCAAGAAATGTCATTTCAAGAATTGTCGTCTTTTTTAATAAATTTAAACTTCTCTCAATTGTTCTTATAATCAAAAAAAAAAAAAAAAAGTGATTGATTTAATATAAAATATAAATTAACGATTTTATAAGAAAAATTATTTTAAGCGAAAAATTTTGCACGACAAAATAAGAAGCATAAAAAATTGTTCTAATATTTAAATTTTAAAATTAAATGAACATAAGATTATATTATCAGTGATTCATTTTTTTTTTTTTTTTCATTTTAATTCAATAATTTCTTCGATTAATAATCAATCAAATAACTAACTCTGTGCTTCGTGATACAACACATATTGCCTTCTCGGGACATAATAATTGGAAATGTTCATTGCCGCATTGCTTCGATGACCATACAACAGGTAAAATGGCGGTATTGGATAGTAGAAAGATGAAACAACCGCCCAGGTGCATCCTTTTGCGTAACAATTACTTCAAGCTTCCATTTATTGTCAATTTTATATGAATTCTTTGTGGAAAATCTAGCAAAAATGTAAAATCAATTAGTCATAACATTTATTCAAAAATTAAGCGCTTTTTTTCCTTTTTTTGTTGAAATAAATTTCATACCTCAATGGAACATCGGAAATTTTAATAACAAAAATATATTAACAATAATTAGCTAACAGTTATTTGAACGAATTCGATTTTTTTTTCATTTTGATATTAATAAGTTATGAAAATTTTCAAAAAGTTATCATTGCGTTTTTGTAGATTTAATTATTGTTTAAACAAAATTGGATAAATTAAATTTTTTTCAACTATTACCTAAATAAAAAAGTATTATTGGATAATTACCTAAATGATATATTAAAGATTAAGCAATAATTTAACAATATAACGATAAACTAGTAGAAATAAATAAATTCAAACCAAAATGATTTAATATTTTAATGTTATGATTTCAATATTAAAGTTGCAATAATGATATTAATTAGAAAATATAACATTTCTGTGAGTATTTTGATAAATTTCTTTTACATTAGTCCAACTACTTTGATAAATTTCTTATGCTTATGCTTTTAATAAAAGAAATTTTTAATTTTTTGAAAATTTCCTTTACTTTAATTTCAAATTTCATAGACATATTGTTTATGCAACAAAGTAGATAGCATTAGTTATGGACGATGTATCATCGATATTTAAACATATCAAATTTCATAAACTGTCAACATTACGATTATACTAAAATTCATGAATTTGTTGAAAAATTAGTGATTATGTCTGGCATGCAACTACGAATTAAAATTTACGGTTAGATTTTTTAAATTTTTATATGACTTTAGGAATATCAGAAACCTTTTGCTTCGAAGCCTTTCGTTCTTTAAGTTTAAACTTGAAACCTTTTTATATTCTTTAAAAACTTAGTTTTGCTATGTTTGGCTATTGCAACCGGATACGTAACAGTGGCAAACAGAAAACTGGAAGAAGCCTTAATGAAAACATACAATCGAAAACATCGACCAGTAAAAAAAGATTCGACAACGATGCAAATTCAAATTTATCTGTTAATTGGACATATTGAAAAAGTGGTACAATATTTTGAAAGCTTTTCAAATGAATATATTAGGATATGCTTATTGATTGATTCAATTAAATTTTAAATTTGATTGACTTATTGATTTAAGTAAAATTAATTAACTTATTATTGCTTCTACAAATAAAGCTAACAAAATTCTTATATGCAATCTTAAATTTAATTTTTTGGAAATCCCAGTATTACTGATTGAAAAGAAAAAAAAGCAACAGGATGAAGAAGAGCAAACGATGTTACTTCATGGATTATTGTGGACATCGTGGACCGATGAATATTTAAAATGGGATCCTAGCAAATATAATAATACAAGACGAATCGCAATTGAAAGTTGGAAAATTTGGCAACCTGCTCTTTCGCTTTATAATAGGTTTTGAAATTAGTTTCTTTCATCCAAAGAAGAAATTGGATTTAAATTAATTAATGAAATAAAATTTTTACTGATAATGTTGTAATCATTATCATAAGATCCTCGTATCAATGTATAAAATTTATCCTATTTTCATAATCTATGAACTGATAACTAGTTCTTACTAATTTCAATTTTTTTTTAATGGTTTTCATCTTCAATCATCATTGCCTTTTTTTTTTTAATGTAATTGTTAATTTCAGTGTTTAAAAGAATTTTAATTCAAATCTTTTTTTATAATAATTGATAGTTTCAATTTATAAATTCTATTGAATGCAAATGTATTACTTCTATCAGTCAAAATTTCCAAATTTCATGACAAATTTTAAACTGAATAATAATCCAAAAAAATATTAAATGTAAAATTATACATCATTCCAACTACAAAACTAAAAAAAAATTTTCATAATAATAATAAATATTAAATTAAATTTTTGAATACCAAAATGATTTTTTTTTTTTTAGAAAACAATGCGAAAAATAATTTATTATTTGATATATTATTATTTGAAATAATAATAGTTAGTAAAATTTAACTTACCCAAAAATATAGCAATATTATTTATCATTACTTACTCTTTAACACTACCAATACATTCCAGTGCACGTGGTAATAGCTGGTATTTGCATATGGGTGGCTTACCAGCATCAGTAAGCAATGATGGCAAAGTTTGGGCATCTGGTTCTTTCAGCTTTCACGTGACATGCTTATTTGATTTTACTAATTACCCATACGATGAACAGGTAATTCTAACTCTTCAATTCCTATCAAATTCAATTAACTAATGCTTAATCATTCCAAAGCTTATTTTAGCATATTTCAATAAAATTTTTAAATTTTAGTCTTTTCATTTCAAACTTCTTTGCACACTTTTGCTTTTTGCATATCATATTCCATCCTTAGTGTATCCGTTTGATTGCATATCTTACGTCTTCCCAGTTCACGTTTTATTTAAGGAGTGTCCTATTGTGATTGCTGACTGGGTATATGATCTTTCTAAGGTGAATTTATCAGATCCATCTGGAAATGCAAGTTTGAATAAACCAGCAATCAAACTTAGTTATGATCCGCTCGATAATACAAACATGAAACGTCATGTTGCAGGTATATATAAAATAGAAGATTAGAAATAATGATTCACTAGTGAAAATTGAAAATAACTTCAGATCCTATAGTTTGTATAGCTTCAAAAGTTTACTTTCACTTTTGCTTCTTAATTAATTTTTTTTTTTTTGCCGAAAGTAAGCTTTTAATTTGAATTGGAAGATAAAAATTGAAATACTTATTTCGGTTTCGTTGTTTAGGCTGTTGGGAAGTGAAAGATACGTGGCGTCGTCAGTGTTATTGGGGACCAACAGGTTGTCGGGATGAGTCACCAGACAGTCAGGTATGAAATATTATTAAAATAATTACAATTTTCATTCTAATCGAGAAGTCAATTGCTTTATTATAATCGAAGCTACTTCAGTAATAACAAAGATTGGATAAGTCTGAGAGCACAAAGATGAAACTAACATTCATAGCTGTTAGGCTTCGTTCAAGAAGTAAACAAATAAAGGTAACAAGTAGGGTAGTTGTCATCAGGCATGATTAAATGAAGTAAAAGCTATTAAAAATTCTTGCAAGAAATCAAACTTGAAATCAGACTTCATTTTTACAGCCTGAATGGTTTTGGTCATTGATTGAATTTGGTGTTCGAATTAAGCGCAGAGTACCGTATTTTGCTTTAACAGTTATCGTACCTACCGTAAGTTAATAATTGATACTAATTATTCATTAATTACTAAAAACGGAAGTTAATTGAATAGATGTAAAAAAAAAAGTTCATGTAAAATAGCATAATGAAGTGATTGAATTGTTGTGTGTACAAAGAAATAAAAAGTTATTCTTAAAAGATTTGCTAAAAAGATAAATGAGATAACTTCATAATTTTGAAGTTTAGCGCAACCTGTATACAAGTTAGAAAATTGAAAAATGATCGGTATTCAGTAGCATTTCCATCAATTTATTTATTTGCTGACCTTTGACTTATTAAATTAATTTTTATATCATAAATATTATGAAAAAAAAATTACCATTTACAAAGGTTCTGTTTAGATAACCACCTGTTTTCTAACTTTAATGGTCTTTTGGATTGACACAATGTCCTTAGCAATTGCTACAACAGTAATGAATGTACTCTTACAAGGATTGTATAGTTGGGAATTTATTAAAAATTTACCACCTGGCAGTGGTGGCGTACCAAAAATAGGTGCAGTTTATATTATTACTTTTGTAATTAAAATTTTTGTTGCAAAGATTTTCATTTGACCAACAAATTAAATATTTTAATTATCTTAGTCTAATTATATAAAGATAAAAACATATCTTCTTAAACATTTACTTTAGCAACAATAATTCAAATAATTTCTGATTTTAAACCTTTCAATGGAATTTTTATTAATTCCAGTGTCATTTTATGGTATGAATTTATCGCTGACAGGAATAACATTTATGCTACATGTTATTATCGCTTATTTGGTTTACATTTTACCTGAAAATTTGGAATTACCATTTCAGGTAGATTACTTTTTTTGTATTCTTTTTAATAATATGAAAAAATTTCGTCTAATTTGATTTCAGATTGTTTCTGGAAAATTTATTATTTAGAACTAATAGGTGGTCAATTAAAGTGTATTTGATCTTTTCTATTTCTGATTCAGTTAACTGATATAACGGAACGATTGAAGCAGCTGAGACCATTCAAAGTTAAAGGATTTTCATTCGATCCACAAAAATAAGTTTTACTTTTTTTTACAAATATTTTTTATATTTTTTTTTTCCAAATTTTATTTACTTTACTTAATGTAGTAATTGAAATCTTTAATAAAATATTATACATATAATATTATGCTTCCAAATATTTAAGTCAAACATTACAGCTCATTGGAATTTAAAATGATATAAACTATTAAATGCAAAATGCACGGAATTTTAGAATGCAATAAAATTTGCAAATTTATATTAACTAAGACAATTTATTTGGCTCATTTTACAAATATTTTCGTGGAATTTTGGGAATTTGACGAAGTTTGGTGTTTAGCATTACTAAAAATTAATTTATCAATAATGACAGATCAATGATAATGATTAACTTAAAGTTTAATTATATTGAAAGTTAATACAACATTAAATCAATAGCAATTATAACAGAAGCTGAGATTTGAAAAAAGATCATATTTTTGTTCGAAATATTTTACATGGTCAAGTAAAATGAGACCCATAAAATCCTTTTGTAACTTTTGAAAATACATAAATTAAAATTTAAGCTTTTGATTGGTGATTATCAAGACAACGAATATAATCAACAAGATCATCAGAAGCAACGACAATGTGACAATATCATGGCGATGGATCAAAATCCCACATTTTCCTTTATCACTACTGCAACTGCTCCAACAACAGAATTACAATTGAATCCTGCAGTGAATGATGGCGAGAATATTGCATTGACTGATAATTTATCACGTATCATTTAATTGAAGCATTATAAACTGATAAGAATGAAAAAGAGCACTCGAGAATAATAGAAAACATTTAAAATAAGAAAGTTATTTTGATAAAATTAATAATTAGTTCAAATAGAATTGAAATTCCAATATTTACTTTTATTAAATTGAAATAATTATAAAAATGATTTCCATTTCCTTTCGAAAACGATAAAATTTTGTAGCAATTTATCTTACCACGAGTAGAACATAAACTGTTCAAGTTTTATTTTTTTTTTTTAATTAAAAAATTTTTTTAAATATATTTTTAAAACTTACATTTAAAATTTTTCAAATTTTGATTAGCTAAAATAAAATTCCATCGTTTAAAAAAGAATACAAAAAAAAAAAAGTTAGGAGAGGGAGAATTTAGTTGCAGCTTCGGAAATTTAAGCAATAATTTACTGAATTAACTAAACATATTTCAAAATTTTTTACCAAAGATTTAAATGCAATGTAACAATTGAATAGAAATAAATAATCGCCCAAATATGCAAAAATATTTTTTTTTTAACAACATTTGAAGGTTTAATTTTTTGTTAAAACACAATTTTTGAAGTTACGAAAAAGTAAACAAAGGCGAAAAAAATTGAAATGAAAGAAATAACGAAAATTAATTCTTCTTTTCCATCCTAAGCATTTTGTTTCATAAATAACTTTAGCAGTTCGTAGGCGAAAAGTGACGAATTACATCGCCGTGCACTGTCTACGATAGCAGAGAATGCGTAATTACGATTTCAGATGCGTCTATTCGCATTTCAGATGCGTCTATTCGCATTTCAGATGCGTCTATTCGCATTTCAGATGCGTCTATTCGCATTTCAGATGCGTCTATTCGCATTTTAGATGCGTCTATTCGCATTTTAGATGCGTCCAGTCGCATTTCAGATGCGTCTATTCGCATTTCAGATGCGTCTATTCGCATTTCAGATGCGTCTATTCGCATTTCAGATGCGTCTATTCGCACTTCAGATGCGTCTATTCCATTTCAGATGCGTCTTTTCGCATTTCAGATGCGTCTATTCGCATTTCAGATGCGTCTATTCGCATTTCAGATGCGTCTATTCGCATTTCAGATGCGTCTATTCCATTTCAGATGCGTCTTTTCGCATTTTAGATGCGTCTGTTCGCATTTTAGATGGTGTCTATTCGCATTTTAGATGCGTCTATTCGCATTTCAGATGCGTCCAGTCGCATTTCAGGTGCGTCTATTCGCATTTTAGATGCATTTATTCGCATTTTAGATGGTGTATTTTCGCATTTCAGATGCTGTCTATTCGCATACTCCATCGCAAAGTGGGAATGTAACAACAAGTGACGCAAATGCAGGAACAACAAGAAAGAATAGCGACACTGCTGGATTTGGCCATATTGCTCAACAATTATATATTATCAGAAGATTGATATTTTTCTTGTTCTTTATCATTTATATTATTTCTATACCAATTTGTTTATTCTGATTACTTTGTGTTATTTGGTATCTTTTTCATAGTTACCGCCAATGAATTGAAACAACAATTAAAGTCGATGACCATTTTGTGAATTCAATTAGAATTAATTTCATTCATTTCAATTCAATTCAAATTTCATTCATTAAACTTCAATCATACCTAGCTTGCTTCAATTCAAACAATCTTATTTCATGTTAATTTGTTTGAATTTAATTCAGTTAAATGATTTATCTCTTCACGTCTCATTATCTTCACTAACTTTACACATTTGAAATATTTCAATCAAACTATTTATATTTATAGTTGAATACACTTTAACAAATGTTATCAGTAATAAAGAAAAGTATTCAAATGAATGTTTCAGTACAATTTTATGAAATTCAAAACAATGCATTCAATTTATCTTCGTGACAACCAACAAACTTTCATTTTTCATTTTTCTTTTTTTTTTTTTGCAAGCCGAAAAATGCATAAGACAAAAGTTAACATTGGTCGATGTATTATGCGAGAATTAATGACAGTAAGAGTAGAAGTGAACTAATTTCAGAAGAAGTAATTCGAAAAAGGGAATTGTTTACTTAACTGATCAATAATCATAAACTTATTTCTTCACTATTAGAAGCAATCAACAAATTCAGGTGTAAATTTCTAAAGAATTAGAATTGTAATGTTTGAATATGAATTATTGATTGACTACGTTAAGCACATCGATCAGATTTAAGAAATAATTGCTTCACAATTGCATGTGCAATATTTGAAATTCTTATAAAAATTTAATCGTACTACATTTGATTGTCATTTACGATGCTAAATTTTTTTAGCTTTTATTTTGATAGATTGAAATTGGAATAATAAACACAATTTTAAGTAAAATTAGTAAATAATTTAAAGGCAAATTTCAATTTAAAAAATATAAAGTTGTCACACATAACAACAAGATACTGAAAAATTCACAATCGCTAAAAATTCTTCCAGCTTTTTCAAAATTTTACAAATAGAATATACGGGGAAAAATGAAATGAATAACATTGATAGTTGATTCAAGTCAATTAGCATAATGTGGAATAGTTGAAGTATTTATAATTATTGTAAAAATTAGATAGGAAATGAGAACAGGAAAATGATTCAACTTTTTGTCCTCTTTGTTTATAATTAATTAAAGCTTTACTTTCTCTTGAATACTGATCGCTAAAATTAATTAATTCAATAAATGTTTTCAGTTTGGGAATTATTTTTTATTTTTATTGTCTAGTTTTGGACAAATGAAGAATTTATTTTGGGACTTAGTCATGGACAAATTTAAAATTTATTTTAGGGTTTAGTCATGGGCAAATCAAGAATTCCTTTCTTATAGTGACTTGAATGATTTCATGATTGCAGCAAATAAAAGTAAAAAATGGTTGTTTCTGTTTGGCATGAAAAATAATTATAAATGCAAGTTTTCCCTTAAGCATCGATTGCTTATAATAAATACAAAGAATTCGAATATTTAATTTAGAAAAATTTAGTAATTAATTAGGAATACTAAATTGAAAGTTATTTTTTCCTAAATTTTAAATTATCATCCCCATACATATGTATATATAATCATATATTATGCTCGATTTAATAATCACATTGTTTTATTTACTCATTCAGTGATTATAAACAAACTTAATGACTCATATCGTGTATGAATCAGCTACTTTTAAGTAAAATTAAATGAATTAAAAGATATTATGAAAAGATATTTGATGGAAAGAATTAGTTTTGATTGATAAAACTTCCAAAAAAAGAAAATTTTTCTGAAAATGGAAGCTTTGATGCTATATTTTTCTTCCATCAATGAATCATTAAATATAACATTAAATGAACAAAAAAAAAAAAAACGAAAAAAAAATTTAAAGGCAAAAAAGTGAAACCATTTTAATTTTTCATTTCTTTGCTGCTTTTATCGTATTCAAATTGCATACATTCGTTTGGAATGTTACTGTCACTAAATCATACAGAAGAAAAAAGGCAAAAATGAAAGGAAAACTATGTATAAATAATAATAATAATTCTATTATTAGTCATTCTTTACATTAAAATGAAACTATAGTATAAATATTCAATAACTTTAATATAGCATTCAAAAATTTTTCAACTATTTGCAATAAACTTTGCATTTCCTTTTATTATTTCAAATTTCTTAAAAATAAAAAAAAAAAAAAGAATAGTTTTTTGTTATGACCTATATTAAATGTTCATAGTTTCTTTTTTTTTAAAAAAAAAAGAATTTTGACATTTTTTTTTCTGTTCTAAATATATATTTTTTTTTTTAGAAATATAATTTTCATTAATATTATGCAACAAATAATGCCATTAAAATTGCACTTTTTCAACTTTTTTTTTTTTCAATGAGAATACGAATTCAATGGGATGGACTAAATCATTCTGTTTCGTTGTTTTGGGAAAAATTTTCATACAAATAAAAAAAATTTCATGTAAACATAGTATTTCAAAAAAAGATTACTGTTGCAGTCCATCATCATTACCATTTTATTTATTTATTTATTTATTTATTATTATCTTTATTATTACTATTTTATTACTATTATTATTATTATCATTATTATTATTATTATTATTATTATTATTATTATTATTATTATTATTATTATTATTATTATTATTATTGTTAATTAATTAATTAATTCTGAAATTCATTCATTTTGTTCCATTCTGTGAAATTTTGCATTATGTTCCATTTTTTTTTTCTAATCTGAGTTTTTAGAAATTATACTATAAATTATTTCGCTAAGAGTAACATTACGATTAATACTTTCTATAGTGGTAGAATAATTAAAATAATTCTTATAGTGATGCAACATATTTATTTATATTCAAAAAATTTACTTACTTGTTTTCTATTGAGTACATTAAGAATAATTAGTAATATTTTAAATGTTACATAAATAAAAAACATTCGTCAACTTTAACAATTCTTTATTTTGATAAGTAAGCATTCAAACTCTTGAAATGCTAATTTTTAAATTCAACATTTTCTTGATGAGAGTAATAAATTCTCAAATTCAGAATATTTTTTATACTGTAAACTAAATTTTAAAATCTGATATTTTATACTTGAAAAAAAAAAAAAAAAACACCGCAGTATCTCAAAGTTTGCTATACATTATAAAATAAAATATTTGGATAATATATAATATTTTTCTGTTCTTATTGTTGGAAAATATTTATTGATTTTAAATTTAGAGCAATTGCAAGATAAACAATAAATAAACATTATAGATTGATCAGTTTGAATAAATAAAAATATTCAGATGACAATAAATTATAACTTACAATTATCAAACTCAAAACCATGGGCACTTTTCCTCATTCTACTACGTTGGCGTGGAAGTATTTGGAAACTTGTACTAATCGAACTTATCATATTTTTATTAATGTTTTTATTTATAAATATATTTCTCAATCATATACTTCCAGAAAATACACGCAAGTAAAATTTCATTTGCATCTTTTGAATGATTTTTAATTCTTATTTAAATTTTTTTTTTTTTTAATGCATTTAGAATTATAAATTAGATTACTTTGAGAGCATATCATCGTATAACATAGAAGATATTTGATCGGTTTACTTTTTACATTTTTTTTTTCATATATTATTGATTACAACGAGTAAATTCTGGAAAAGTTCAATGTGAAAAAAATAGAGTATAACTGTAGTAATACAATAATTTTTTGAATTTATTAAATTCGTTTACATCATTTTACTTAATTCTTCTTGTAAAATGATAATTATAGAATAGTTGCTGAAATATCACAATGGTTTAAATCCCAGGAAACTTTTAAAATGATACCAGTGGAATTTATGCTTGGTTTTCTTGTTCAAGCAATCATAACACGTTGGCAGAAGATGATTCATGATATTGGTTTCATTGATAGGTTTGTTTATCATCCTTTTTTTTTTCTTTTTTTTTTTTTTTCGATTTTTAAACTGTTTAAATTCCTCGCATGTTTTTCCTCTTTTATTTAGTCATTTTAATCCATAATAAAATTGAAATTTAATTCTAAAATTTTGCTCCCTCATTTGTCTTATTTTTTTCTTAGAATTTTATTGTAAAAAAATTGATCAATCATTTTTTTTCTGCTTTAATCACCTATTGTTATGATAAGGAAGTGTGATATCATTTTCAATTTTCTCTTTTATAATTTATGCCAATGAATAATCTCTTGTCTTCAAAAGAGCAACTGATCAATAATCCAATCAATCAATCAATCAATATCATCATCAGTCATTATTTTCATCTTTTATCATTACGAAGACAATTTAGAGTTTATTATTTCTTTTACAGTTTATCATTGACAGTAGCTAGCTATATTCATGGTAATACGGATTATAGTCGTATGATACGACGTAATATCGTACGTTACGTTTGTTTAGCTCAAGTGCTTGCATCACGTGATTTTAGTATTGCAGTTCGAAAAAGATTTCCTACAATTGATTCGATTGTTTCAGCTGGTAAGATGAATTAATTTTTGTTTACTATCTTTGATCTAAAGAAGAAAGGTAAAAGTATGCACATCTTTCATTTAACATAACTCACTTATCTATTATTTATTTCAATTAGTTGAAATGACTAAATTAATATTTTAGCTTCATTTTAGCTTCATTATTGAATAAGTAAAACTATAACATAATTGATTAATGTCAATTGTAAAACTGTTTCGAGAATTATTTCTCTACCCGTTTTATTTGCGAAACTTTTTATCATACTGATTATCCAATAATACTTTTTTCAAAGAAAGTTTGAAATTTCCAATAGTTTCATTTTTGGTTTCATGATGCCACATGAGAAGGAAAAGTTCGATCAAATAGATTGTAATTTTGGATCAAGGTATTGGTTACCTGTACAATGGGCACTTTCTATTGTTCATACTTCTCGTCGAGAACAGTTAATTGATAGTGACTTCTATTGTGAACGCATCTGTGAAGTATTTTATTTTACAATTTATATTGTTTATGCTTATATTAACTATTAGAAATTATCATACAGGATATCTTCGAGAATTGCTCCTGATAAAATTTAATTCGATTTATTTTCAGGAAATTAGATGCTTCCGAAATAGTTTAGCCAATTTATGCAAATTTGACTGGGTACCATTGCCGTTAGCATATCCTCAATTAGTGTATCTGGCAGTACATGTACATTTTTTCATAGTACTTATTTCAAAACAAGAAATTATCCTACCAGTAGTACAAAAGAATATGACAGAATCGCTCAGTGCTGCAACAACAGTTAGCGAATCGGTTTTCTCATCGTTTTCTTCTCTCTATTTTGTATTTTTTTTTTTTGAAAAAAAAAAAAGAAGAAATCTTAAGATAGCAATTTGATAAAAAAAACATATCACTGCAGTTACATCGGTGGGTTCCGTTAACACCAGCTATACAATTCTTTTTTTACATGGCTTGGACAAAAGTGGCAATGGTACTTATTAATCCATTTGGTGAAGATGATGATGATTTCGAAACAAATGCACTTATTGACCGAAATTTTAAAGTATATTTTGAAATGAATTTATTTAATTTATATTAAATGAAAAATTTGCAATCATCTCTGAAATAAATACTTTCTCACTGATATGATAGTTATCAATCAATACAAAAATATTCATATCATTGCTGCTGCTCTAATTTTTATATTTGCATAACAGTAATACTTGTGTTCCGGATAATATAATAATTTAACATACTTAATCTTTCGTTTCTGAATTCATAAAAGCAACTAAAGATGAATGATTTAATTAAATCACCAAGGAAATTATATCACCATCTCTTTGACACATGATAATTACATAAATTAGACAGATTTAAGAGATCAAATTTGATATTTATTCATCTGCTCTTTTTTAAATAATATTTATCGAAGTTAGCAATATTAAAAACGTAACTTGCAAATCATTTTAGGTAGGAATAAGAATTGCAGATGGTACAAGTGATGATGTGCCAAGACAATTGAAGGATTCATTTTGGAATCATAATATCGAAGCATTATATAGCCAAAAATCTATTAGAATTAATGAAAGACAAGATGGTTTAGTGGGTTCAGCTACAAGATTTCCGTAATGTTACGCAAACATTTCACTGATTTTAGAATTTTAAGCATTCGTTTAAAAACATGTCAAAATTAAATTAATGATGTATTGGCTGCAAAAATTTAAAAGATCTTTTAAGGTTTATATATATATAATATAAAGAATTTATTGAAAAAGTTAAAACATATTACTGCTATGAAAAGTGCGACTGAACATAATTTATTATTAATTATCTAATTTAACATAATTTACTAAAGCTGTAAAATTAAGCATTAATTTTTGAAATTCATGCAAATAATCAATCAGTCATCTTTTTAGAGAACCATATGATGTGGAACAAATATTGATGGTACCATTAAAACGAAATAGTATAAATAGCATCAGTAATGGTAGTCACTCAATGTATGTAAGACAAAGATCACAAAGACAAAATTATTTGGATAATGCAATGTGAGCATTGTTTACATGATATTACAGGCACGAACAGGTGAACTATAGGCACCGAACAGGTGAACCAATATCATATTAGCAAAATGTTTTATTTCAATATTTGTTACAAAATACGTTAAGGGTAAATGCAAAGTATTCCATATCACCTCAACATATGCACATGAAATCTTGAACCACTTTAACTCATTTCAATTGAAAGAAAAAAAAAACTACTCGAAATAAAACCTATGCAACGGAATTCAAAAACCTATGGATAATTTCGAATCTTATAAAAATCTTTTATATTTATAAAAATATTTTTTATAAATATAAAAATTCATCTTTTTCAGTATCGGTCGACAGCTTCGAAATACTGCAAAAAGTATCACGAACACAGGGTACCTTTCCACGATTTAAATCTTTCTGAGTAATTTGAAAAACGATGACTGAAACTAAATTTGACTACAGGATATATATTTAGCGCTATTTATCCCTGTTAATTTGCATGTGAAATCTCAAAATCCAACAGTTTCGCTTTGCAGTACTTCCGAAGAACATCGCACACACAACGACAGTTGGTCATTACATCGCGGCAAAAAATCCTCAACTTCTACTTCATTAAATGAAAAGTTCTGTCACCTGAACAGGCGTTATATGATGGACGAGCAAGGTAATATAATTAAATTATAAATTGCCAATTTCGGATGTTAACAGGAAGCAAAATATCTCTGCAAGAAAAATTATCATTATTATTATTATTATTTACTGACACATGTCATTTGCATGACTTTAATGTACTGATGTTTACAACTGAACGTCAACAACGTGTCCATATAGATCTAAAATAATGATCTATCTGTTGGATCATGCAAATGGTATAAATCACTAATTTTCACCTAGCTCTCGAACATCTAATTGCCCCTTATTTCCTTTTTAGACAAAGCTTCCGAGAATTAGACTGTAGAGTCGGAAAAAATAGTCAAAACGTTCACTAAAATTGTCAAAGTTTTCTCTTTTTTTCGCAGCAAAGAACGACTTATCAAAACAACACGATGGTACCGCCGGGAAACTAAATCTTCCCAAATCAGAAATTTCGCAATATGAACAATACGAAAAAGATACACCGAATCAATCAGTGGAAGACGAAAGTAAAGATGATGACAGCTTTGAGCAAATTGCAAAAATGTGAATGATAAAGTAGCCTTAGTCAGCAGAAATTTGTAAAGAATACAATTTTCCAGACAACTGAAAAAATACTTCGAAAACCTGAAAGTTTTAAAAACCATCGAACACTAAAACGTCTAAGTGCAATGAAACTTTTATAATATTTACATGCATAATAACAATATCTGAAAGTTAAAAGAACCACCAAATATTGTAAATATTTGTAAATATTTGAATGGCACGGTAGTTGGAACGAAGTGAATAATCTTATAAACAATGTTGCCTACAATGATTAAAATTTAACAAAATCCATAGAAATCTAGCAATTTATTAGAAATCGACACATGCAGAAATTAAAATAATTTATCACTACTTATTAAGAAGTACAGTAACAGTGACAAAATTAAAGATCTACTTTTTATGAGTTAAATATTCCTCAGCTTTTCGAATCAAATCCTGCATTTCCTTGTATTGTGCCAACATACTAGCTTCATCCACCGATAACCATCTAACATCTTGATGTTCATCTGATAATCTAACTTCTTCATCATTTTTCAACCTTGCCAACCAATACTTGACTGTTTTCTGAAAAAAAAAAAGTGAATTTTGATAGACATACTTCACAAATCTAACATGTTTAGAGGAATCAAATGGAAAACCATCCAATCATGTATACCTCATCATACTTACATAACACCAATTATTGTGATGCTTATGTTAAATAATATAAACGGAAGCTACAACAATAATAATTATTCACGATAAATTGAATTTCGAAAGTTGCTCACTTGCTTGTTAATCTCTTCTCCATGTCGGTCACTTTTTTTCACTACATAGCTCAGAACTTCTACAAAATCCATATGTACATCCAAATTATTGGCCGTTATTCCAGCTTCTTCACAGGTCTCACGTAATGCTGCCGACCATTCATCTTCACCAGGATCAACATGACCTTAACATATATGAAAATAAATTTTCTTCATAAATCAAAACAAAACTGCAAACCTTCTGTTAAAATCTTATGCAAAATGATATAATAAAATGAAATTCTGAACAATTTACTAAATCCTTAATTACAAATGATAAACAAAATCTACAGCCTCCAAAATTACTACTCACCAATGTGTTAAAATTGTGTTCACACTAGAGTAAAAATGTGTTAAAATGAAGCTGCATCGCATAAATCGAGAAAAGGATTTCCTGAGTTCTAAGAAGTCTTTTCTAGAAAATATGTAGTATATTAAGGACGACATAGCATATTACTTTTGTTTAGAGATAAAAATATTATCTTACACACATGTGTCAAATGAGTGTGATTAAACGAAGTATAACATGATGAATGATTCTTATAAGATACTCAAATAAAGCAAACAAAACCTTTTGGTGGAGACCAATGGTGTGGAGGATACGACGCTTGCAATAATAAGTATTCGATTCGATCAGCCTTATGACGATAAACTAGCATACCTGCTGCACGTACAATTTCGGCCATCATATGGCCACGTGAAGAGTAACGTGAAAAAAGAATACTAAAGTGTAAAGACTTAAACTTTTGACTTGAAAACTTTAATTAACTGTCCCCTCGTCCGGCCAACCGCAAAATACTCCTACTGAAATTTTAAATTCGAGAACTTTTGTTTCAAAGTTGGTTTATTTCTCTTATCTTCTCTTTATCAAGTTGAAGTCATTCGGGTTAACAGATTCAGGTAATCTATCTCTTTGTCATCTCTTCTATATCCTTACTCTGTCCCACAATATTCAATACCTGATGTATCTTATCACATGAGTTATCACTTTTTCTGAGTGATAAGTAAATGCTTTATCAATCGAATACTGCATCGAAATCTTTTCCTGTATAACGTAATCTCACTTTGCACTTTGCTCTTTTACAATTTTTCCCTCTTTCCTTTCCATTTCTTTCTTCTCTTTTCTTTTTCTAATGTTAATAGTTCCTATCTGTATCAATTTTTTAGAATTAACGTTTATTTCAAACTTTTAAAAATTAGAGGAAAGAGGAAAATCCTCAATATTCTGAATTTTATCTCAAATTTCGACGTGAATAGTTATTATTGAGAATAACAATGGCTATGAATGGCATAGAGAAGTTTGTAAAATATTAAAGGACAGAATAGTGGAAGTTGTCAGACTTTCGAAATATCAGACGAAAAAAAAGTATAAATCAAATAATTTAGAATTGATGTAGCTCTTAGCACTGAGAACTTTCGATTTTGCAATTCAAGTCTGAGTTTTTTTATTATTTTAAAGCTTTTACTAATTTCACAAATTATTAGTGGAAAAAAAGAGCAAAGGGGAAAACACCAAGGTCCCGGGGAGATTTGAACTCCCGTCGCAGGATTCAGAGTCCTGAGTGCTAACCACTACACCACGGGACCATATAACCAAGTACTCTGGTAATTTCTTCCAATGCACTGGAAATTCGATGCTATTTTGGCTTTTTGAATTAATTTTATACTTAATTTCACGTTTTCTTCACTGTTTTAAACAGTTGTTTGAACATCAACAAAACTGTAAGCTTATGGACAAGCAAAATGAAGTGTCAAATAAGCATTAGTTACTTAAAGCATTAGTCTCAGTAAACATGCATTGATAAACGAGGATCAAATTTGATTTAGAGAAGTTATGTGAAGTATAATGCAAGAAACATATTTATTAATTACTAGTTTCTTTTTTTTTTTTTTTTTTTTGCGAATGCTAGATCAGAAATATTTTCGTATAGATATGCTATCTCATATTTTTTTTGATCAAAATATCCTTGTCCTCAAAGCAATTCCTTAGAATAAATTTTTAGGTTCAGGTTCATGTTTTGGTATTTACTTTTTAATGTTAAGTATCCTGAATTAAATCGAACTTTGCATTGTGGCACAAATGGTAGTTAAATTGAATAGTAGTAAAACTGAAAAGTCGCATGACTAGGCTTAATCCCAAAAACGAATTGGTATCATGAAGATATCAAGTGTATAAGTAACAAAATTATCCAACCAACGAACCGTTAGGTAAGCCAGACAGAATAATTTCATTTTTATAGTAAAGTAAAAGATTCAAAAGATTTTTCGATAACTTTAAGTTTGTCTCTATTTGGTGGGTTACTGTCACATCAATGCTGCCAATAAATTGGATGAGGAAACTGTAAACAAACGAATTCAAAAAATTGGTTGAATATACCATGCAAAAGAAATTAAAGGGAAAATCAGCCGTGCAAGCTGGATATTCAGGAACATTTTTTTTTTTCTTCAGAAACGATGAATTTCCAACGCAAAAATTTCTTAGTTTAAAAATAAGCATTATTCTTCCATGTAGTTATATTATATTTATGCACTCGGATTACAGCAAAGCAAATCCTTTGGTATTGTTTAAAAAACAAAAAATTGATTTCACAAAATACTGCACAAAAAGCAATTTAGTCTGAACAGATACAGATAAGGATATAAGAAATTTTTTTTTTTTAGAAAATTTCCTAATAACAATCAAAAGAATAATAAGTTCATTCAATTTTATCATCGTCATTCATTTCATTTATTAATTCAACAACCCAAATACCGTCTGAATTACGTTGTTCTTTGAATAGAATACGCATCAGCTGACCAACACAAGGTATTTCACTCACACGGGAACTAATCGTTTTAACCAGTTCTGCTTGATTCACAGAAGCCAAAATACACGGTACTGCTAGAGCAGGTTGAGTACGAACCTTTGGAGACTGAAATATTTAATTAGTATATTCCAGAATCTAGGCTTCATTAAGAAAAAACATGATAATTTAATACGAAATAGCTTATTAAGACTGTTGAAGTTCCAAACGAAGTTTACCAAGTTTTCTGTAGACCATAATTCATTTTGCCGAATGGTTTCCGTATGCCCATCGTCAATATGTCGTACATATGCAACGTTTTCAATGAAGTGTTCAATAATTGCTCTAACTTTCGTTTTTCTAAGATCATTACACTGTACTATACAAAGTGCACCAATTGCCTGCAAATATACAATAATAAAAGGAAAAAAATTGTTTAAGAACTACTTTCGTAACTCTACTATAGAAGTTTCTTCCCATAATGTTTTTGTAAACTTTAGCTTTTCAGCAACATAATGAAACATGTTTGCCATTAATCTAAGAGAAAGATAAATAAAAATACCAACGTGAGTAAAATTAACCATTTCATTAGCATTCAGTTTCTCTGTCGGATACAACGAAGCAAAACATTCGGCAGATATATCTTGCGATACTGTAGCTGGGGTTACAAAAAATACTGGCCAGTCAGTATTGCTACCAACTCTTCGTACCATCAATTCACTTCCATTAACTATACTGATAAGCTTATGATATATCTGAAAATTCAATAATGCAGCACAACACAAAACACTGTTAATCCTAGAGTTAAAATTAAAGTACGATTTTTGAAAAAATTAGATTAAATCGTTTTATAGTGATATCTAGATAGAATATCATGCATTTTCGAATATTATACTATAGAATTATTGCACCTGATAAGTTGGAAATGACTGCAGATCATCATCTTGATGCAAGGAGATTGGCTCTGGAGATACAATCTGAAATCAGAAACGGTTTCTTCTATAATTCATTTCACAACAAAACTAAGCTAGATTGTTGATAGAACTACCAGATCATGAGTTTTGTAAAACAGTACGTACCGTTTCCTGTCCTTCATAGTTACTTGTTTTAACGGACAATTGACTATAATCAGCTGATTCGTCGGATGTATAAATTGGTTTCTTAATCAAACTTGTTTGTGATGAATCGGATACCTGTCAATATTATGATATGAAGTTCTGAAAATGAGCTAGACAAACGCATTCCTCTTATTACCCCTTCTTGCTACTACAAACATTTTTTATCAATTACAAATAAATGGAAATAAAGAATCACTACAAAAGTTTTCCACCGATGCTCCAGTATTACCTGCGGAATTGCTTGATTTGAAAACTTCGGCAAATTTTTCACATATTGCGAAGTTTCACTCACTGAACGTTTAGGAAAATTACTTTGCACGTCTGAAATAAAAATTTCCATTGGGCTACTTTTTCGATTCATGCAAAATTGTTCATAAAGATGCGAAATATAATAACGGTAGAAATAAATTCCTAGCAATTACCATGCGACTGTTTCTTAACAATATTACAATAATCACTGATTGTGCGGTGTGGCGGTTCGCCATATTCCAATTTACGACGGCAGCTATCCCAAAAAGAATCTACTGATACAGAAATTTTACAATCTAAAATAAAAATAAACAAAAATTTGAAAAATCTTGTTGAATTTCAGTACCACTGGTAATGAATGGAGCGATTATTAACCATTAACTTGAAGTTTCTGATATCTCCATCACAGCATATTAGCTTCGACTTTGACTCGAAAGAAAATTTTTTATAAAACTATTGATAAATATTATAAAACTATTATAAATAAAACATAGTGTTAAACGAAGATAATAGTAAACGGAAAATAAGAAATAAGTAAAACTAGGTGATGCATATTGGAATAAAAAAATAAGGAATTTTAGGTTAAAAAAAAAAAGAAGTACTCGAAAGACTTTGTAACCTGTGCTTGAATTCGAAACCATGGAATTTGTTTTTGATGTCGGAGGAGTGGTAGCCTTTGAATGCATCGAACGTTTCTTAGTTTTTGAACTGGAGCGAAATAGTGGCTGAAATTTATTACTGCGTGATGATCGTTGCATTGCTGAATGTCCATTGTTGCTTTCCGAAGAAGTATCATTGAGCATCGGCTCCCGCGTTCTTTTGGGTGATGCAACTCGCCATTTTCTTGGCGGAAAATACCATTTTTCAGGAGAATCATGCTGCAATAGCAATTAAAAGGTACAACTCTATCTCAAGATCTAATTTTTGAAAGTCTCATCGTTAAACTTTCGACGCTTAAAATTGCTCGTTATCTGAAACTCCAAAGAATTTCAGAAAATAGTACAACGACATTAAATAAAATGAATAAGCGAATCGAATGTGCTAAATCAATTGCTCATAGCTTAAACTGCTTAGAAAACTAAACTGCGAATCTCAGCAAATTCCGATGTTACTTCTACTCACGAAACTAAACCAATTAAGTTAGATTAGAATGAATTAAATTGACACGTTAATTATAATACATTCATTACATTGTTTATATTTTGGTTGTATTTCGGAATCTCAAAATGATGACCAATTGTTGCATTCGGGAATGACATCTGTGCATCCGTGACATAGGGCATTAATGAGCGCATAGCATTTCTAAAATGAAACGCTGTAAAATTTCGAGTTTTAATTTAGTATATATATAAAATTTTCTGTAGATCTGAAAAATTTTCAGGACTAAATATAGACAAACTAGCAATACCAAAGAAATCGAACAATACAACAGTGAAATTTGCATAACTAAATCCTTGTGAATTCGAATTTCCTTATGCTTTAAAGAAAAAGAAGCTGTCTAATTATTCTAAAAAATAATTCTGCTTCCTTCTATAACCTCCCTTCTATAAGACTTCACTGGTACTACCAATAACGTAGCATATTTTACTATCGATTAATTAAAAGGTACTAAGACAAACATTTGCTGGTATGGCTGATCGCATTGGTTTGTGGAGTCCAATGAATGTGAAGGCTGAAGATAAGATGTCCACTGCTTTCCCCAAGATTGGTTTACGATGACGTTCTGTTGTTGTTGCATACTGGCTGCACTATTATTATTACCGTAACCGTCGCCGCGTTGACCGTAATCATTTGTGGTATACATGGGAACATCACAATAAGTATTTTGTTGTAGTTGCGGACAAAAAGCATTCTACAAAAAAAAAAAGCTTTCTTCAGCTTTTGCATTCTGATCAAAAAAATATGGGAAGCCATAAAAGAAAAAGAGCAAAAAGATAACTGATAATTATCAAACTTCAAGGACAAATGCATTGACAAGCGAGACTCCACTGTTTTTCATGAAGTCAAAATAATAATTGTCCATAATAAATATGACAATATAACAACTGATCCAATTAGTAAATGATTAACAAATAGGATGTAGAATTGTTCTGGGAAAATCTATTAATTTTAATTAATCGTGAAAAAATTGATTTACAAAATCTTTTCTCCACTAAATTCTTTGCAGACCTAAATAATACATACCGTTTTCACAAGATTTGAGTTATTAGAAGCAATCACATCCAATTTTGCTGATATGTCCCATAGCTGCATTTGTAATGCTACCAGCTGTAATTCTTGTTCCCTCTTGATGCTAGAAAAGAATAACTTCAGAAGAAGCTTAGTTATATATCCAAGAAATATCTCTTGATAAATCAAAGTGTTCTGAAATAAAAGCCTGTGCCAATTCCATTGCTTAAAAAACAAAACTCATATTTCATCCACGCAATTCTATCTCGACAACAAACCTTTCATTTGTAAAATTTTCTTCTTCCTTTCTCAGCATTTCTTCTTGCTCATGCAATCGTTCTTCTTCCTCATGTAGTTCCTCTTTTCGTTGTTCAAGCTCCCTCACAGCATCCATTTTCGGCACATTTTTGGTTTCAAAAAAATTTTAATAAAAACGTCCAAAAAAATTTTTAATTGAATTAAACTAATTAAAGCCAAGAGAAAGACGTAAGAACTGAAAGTCAAAGCTTTCCGTGAAGACTGTTTTTCTTTGAATTTCTATGGTGATTTTGTTATACTATGATTTAGTTAATCAACTACAAAAAAAGCATTAATTAATGTAGTGAAATAACAATGAATCAGAGTAACCCTGTGATGCACTATTGATATTCTTCCCTTGCTTCACACTTTTTTTTTCATCCACCTCTTTGCGAACTCGTGGCTTCTTATAATAAAGCACAAAATCTGTATCTGATAATGTCACTTTTGCCCAATACAAATCACGGGCACATTTCAATGTTAAACAAACATTGTAATTATTTTCATCAAGTAACTGAAAAAAAAAAGCACCGTTAGGACTTGACTAAGAAAACAATTAATAATATCAAATCACATTTAACATTTCATTAAAAGTACCAAAAGATATTTTTCATAAAATACAATTTCTTCGTATTATGTGTATTAGATGTAATTATAGGGTATTTATTAAAAAATATGACTAAACATATTTGATGGGCATACAAACAAGCAAATAAATTACATAATAATTACATGATAAAGTATTTAGAAAACGCATCAATTTTCTAGCTCAATTTTTCTACCTAAATTATTGACAAATCCGAATTTTTCGTAATATGAGCGTTTGAAAAACGCAGCATTGCTTACCCTTATTCCTTTATTAATATTCTTTTTAGATGGTGAAAACCTCTTCACTCGACATCGAAATGATGCTATTGGCTTCTCAAGAACTTCAGCAGGCTAAAATTCGCCACTGGTTACTAAATTTTATGTTCCAATCATGAAACTGCGGCAAATGTACATATTCATGAAACAGCTGCCACAATTTCTAAAATTTACTACCAGAAAACACAACAGCCTCAATTAATACAGAGTCGACTGCCATATCAACTTGAATTATAATTTTTGACCATTGCAAATATTACAATGTATTCAAACTCAATGAACAAATGCTCACCTGGTCCTGGAGTTCAAATAAGTCTGACACACTACATACAACTGTCTGCCCGAAATCAACAAGCAATACTTCACAGGTGTTATCATCTGGCCGGTAATGGCTAGCTATTGCTCTAAATAAATGGATAACAGAAAAAAGTCAAAAACTTCACTTGAAAATTTAAAATTTTCCTTTCGAAACAAAAGGAAATTAGAAAATGGATAAAAAATTAATTGACCACTGATAGAAAAAAATAAATACACGGTCAAACAAATAGAACTGCGAGAAATTTCGAAAAAACATAACAATGATTGGAAATACCAATCCTATTCGCAGTAAAAATTTGACATCAACTTGGGAAGCTAAACCATTAAATCACTAACATACCTGAATGCTTGTGGCTGAAACGATGAGCTGTTTGATCGTGCTGGACGGATCAACCGAGCTATACAACAAATACCACGATCTAAGCATACTCGAGATGTTAGAGGTGTTGTCGCTGTCACCATACGCTTAAAATAACTAATAATAATTCCTCATTGAATTAAATTACATGAGATAGTGTTTTATTAAAGGGTAATATAAATACAGATGAAAAATGATGCAAAATGAACCAACACTAATTTTGAGCAAACATGACTGTAAATCCATTTAAAATGTATAAACATTCTTAAAATGCTTCAACTACGATCAACCTACAAGAACAAACCCTTGTCAGATCATCGATTACTTCGGGATTTCTCATTAAATAGGTGTCGTAGTCTGTACGCTCAGTTACTCGTGCTGTCAAACGAGCCGGTAATGAAACACTGAACTTTTGAAACATAAACGGCAAGGTTGGATCTCTAGTTATTGCTGGCACCGATGCACTTTTTACTACCAATGCCCGACATCGACGTCGAGGCATACCACTATTATTACCACCGTTAATATTAATGTTCTGCAAATTTGAAGAATCATCGAATTAAAATCAAAATTTTGGAAGAATTTAAAAACTAGAAAAAAAAAAAACCCATTAGACATCGTCAAAATTTTAATTTCCAGTTCTAGTACGCTTTTAATATGTAAGTAACTGAACAAGAGTCTGGAACAAACTAGAATGAATGAGGAAAGATAACGATGGATAAAACTGAGCAAAATTTGTAAATGAGAATTTCTATCAATAAAAACTGGAGAAGGCATTAAAATGAAAAGAGAAAAGGATTTAAAATAAGAAGTTAGTCTAGTTGACTATTTCATTAGTTTAATTCATTCTGTTGAGGATTTACTTTAAAACTTTTGGAACGTGTTTGTTAGTGAAAATTATTAGATCAAAAATTAGAATGTTCATCAATAGATCATATATATACAGATGTATAAATGAATATATTTAACCCAAAGTTCCTTGAAATGAGAAAAAAGTGGACCACAGAACAGAACCATGCCTGTCTGATTAAATCATTACGTATTTATCACTGATGCTATTTGTACTGCTACTAATATCATCATATGGTATTCCGATAATTTTCGCGCCTGCCTCCCTCATTCCAGTAAATCCCGCGAGAAACAGATTTTATATATGTATAAGTGTATACAAATAAATGTTTATATATACATATTTACGCAGTCTTTTTATGGGAACAGATCTTCACAATACGAAGTTATCAGTATATAGGAAATTGTTCAGAACTCTAAAAAAGAAATTGTTGCCCAGTTAATCCTGAAAATAGAAATGTTATCAGCATTTCCACACTTCCACATAGCAAATATGCACTGATTAGGACCTTCGAAAGTTCGAAGAAAAAATCCATCAAGAAAATGTATTTCAAAAATATTCTATTTTTCTAAAAACTGACACATGTTTGGAAAAAAGCCTTTCTGCTAGCAACTGAGTTAGTGATCACCGATGCATGCGTAACATCAGATCCGACATGTTGAACCTCATCAGTAACAGAAGTTAGAGGAGCTTCTGGGATCTTTTCAATTATCTGGAACACGGTATTGCATTTATGAGCTCAGAGAAGCAGATTAAGACTTCTGCTCGCTTTGCTTAGCGTCTTTCAAAAAATTTACTACGATACTTTAAAACAAGTGAGCAGCCATGATAATTTATTTGTAACAAAAAAAAATTTAAGCTTTCAATAATCCAAAAGACTTGCATAGAAAAAACGCTTCTATAACCTGACTTTTACCTTCTCGGTACATGTAATTTCAACAAACTTTCCATCCTCATTTTTCTTGTATATTTGCGACATGATTGCTGGTGGATACATCTCTTTTGCTCGTTGAGGATAATTTGAGGGGAATTCATTGCCTTAAATGAGACGGAATTTTCAATAACTAGTAATATAATATGATCTAAAACGTTTGGAAAACTCATAGAAGTATCTGCAAAGTTGTTCGAAGTCGAAATAATGCTATGTTTTTTGTTCTACGGCTCATACTTTATATGAATAATACAAAATGAAAATGATAAGAATGCAATCTGATATAAAATATCATAAGAAAATTTACAAATTTTGATTATGCAAATCGCTCCTTCTTCCAAGAACTCAAACTCTTCACATTTGCTTGTATTACAACAAGATTCCAAAATAACACGTAAGCAAAGAGGTGGTATACCACGCAAAGATGGCAATAATTCGCATATGTCATTTGCGCTTATATCAAACACCTCTCCAAGATCAATACCATACATCTAAAGTCATGGCATTTTCATAATATGTGTCTACTCAATTGAAAGATGATTTAATGAAAATGCTATCAATGATTTTTAAAATCTATTTTAGTGGGGACAGTAGCACACTAATGCATTTGATAAAACGACTGATAGACTTCAAACTTCTTTGGGAACGCTGCGCTGCCCTCATAAAGTTTTAAATACAATCCATAAACTTAGAAATATCGACTAACTCTCTAACCAGTGAATTGCGTAATGATTGTATGAGAAACTTTTATAGATTCAGGAAATCTATGAAAAATTAAGAAGGATTAAGTGATTTAGCTATCATCGAGATGTTAGAGAGATAATAAGTTAATCCTCATCGAAGTAATGAAGCATACCGAAAATGTCATTGTCTTGTCTCTCTTTAGTAATACCGCCCTTTGATATCCCTTCTCTGTTCGTACCAGATACACGGTGCCTTAAAGTGATGAAGTTTTATAAATACTCTGCCACTTCCAAACTGCTTTGTAATGAAAAAACATGGATGTAGGAAATAACTGATTATGTAAGGCAATATTAGCAACCACGTATGTAGCAAGTTTACGTGATAATATCTGCAATAGAATCAACTAATGAAGACAAATTTAATTAGTGTGAAGCCATACATCAAAAAAATTTTTAATATTAACATGAACCCACAACGTCATACGTTATTCAAACTTACTCATGCTGAGTGGTTGCGATACCGCAGGACGCAATGAATCTTCCGTGTCGTCTACTGCCGCACTGGAAAGATTTACACTGAGCTCATATTGATCGTCGCTACATAACGGTTTTACATATAAGCATTTCGTTGCCCTATCCACTCGTAAAATTCGAACCTCGAAACAATCACCCACTGGTAATGCCAATCCAGCCGGAATAAAACACGTGCTTGCCATTAAATTTACTGTAAATTAATGCATAGAAATTTAAAATAGAAATTTTCAAATCTAGTGAAAATTACAAATTTTGGATATAACCGTCAGATTGAAAAACAATAGAACAATCGTTTTTATGCGAAGACAAAGATCTTTACAATCATAAGCTTGATTTTTCTCAATTTTGAATTAATCCTAATTCCATCGTTTAGGAAGACTCAAAACACTTCAAATACAAGAAAAACGAAATACGAAAAAAATCCAAAGTTCTAGTTAAGATGAATGTTGAAAATCCTATGTTAGATATAAATGTAGAAAAGACAAACTTGATGAACCGTCATGTCGCAACCAAAGAGCTCTGCCATCTGGTGGTGCAGCTACTAAGGATTTACTTCCGGAACGCATTTTTCCGTTTTTGCTGCAAACATAAAACAAAAAAGTATTGTTAAGTATTCCCGCAAAACACTGATAATCTTGAATAGAATTAAATTGATACAATTGCTACCAATTAGCTGGATAACGGAATTACCAGGTCGTCATACTCGATTGACACATGTTTTGGTATTACATTACATATTTTATTTTATATTACTATTTCCACCATTTCGGTTATTTCATTCAGTTTTTTGAAATTTGAAAAAACACTTTTGAAATTTCATTTTTTCTTCCTTTTACCAAATGAAGAAAAGAAAAGCAAAAATAAAAAAATCTTCAAAGTTAAAAAATAAACATAGCTGGGAAAAAGAAAAATGGGCTTTTGTAAATGACACATTTTATGAAAATCTTTTTAGTTATCCTAAAAAAGAAAACATTTCTCAGTGCTACCATGATTTTTGATTGTAAATAACGGACGATTTAAAATTCCGGATACTGATACTGCGGATATTTTCAGGATATCCCAGATATCCTCATTCAACTGAACTGCTAAATCTTAGATCTCAATGAACAAAAACCCACAAATGCGCACCGCCAAAAAATCCTACAATCTGAGAGCACCAAATCTCACCGTATTTAATGTACTAATTGACGTCCGTGTTTTAGTTTATGTATCTTTTCCTCTTTATACCACCATATTTGCATATAGCTGCTGCTACTCATCTGCATGTTGCATGCTCATCTGCACGTTTGCAATTTAAAACGTGCATCCAGACGGATTGCTTGCAAGTGCAGCACTGTTCTAGAATATGCACAGATTGCTACTGTAAAACAAAAGAAAGTTACTGCTTACGAAGAGCTACAAATAAGCGCTTAGAGACCAATATGAAATAATAAATAGGCTACAGTATACCAGTAGGATACAGTATACAGCCATTACATGTTACAGTATGTCTGATACAGTATGCAGCATATCTAATATGATTAGGTCATTCCTTCCTTATCACATTCAAAATTTTATTCCAGAAACTCCAAAAAATTAAACTGAGAATTCATTTTTACAGTTTTAAAAAATTTTAAGAACAGATTTTGACATATCGTTGCAAGGAATCATCATGATGTGTATAAACATTCCTTTTGAATTTTGAAGCTATGTGCATTTTTGTTTTGCAAATTGCGATATCTGTTGAGGTTTCCCATTTGCTTACAGTTCTCAACATCTTATATAAAGGATGAACTGGAGAATATTCGTGAAGCTTAGATGATGATAAGAAGATGCAGAACTAATATGCACATTTGAATCCAATCGAACGTTCGTGACAAGTTTCAATCGATGTTTAATTTCATCAATCAATCCTTAATTTAATGACAAATGATAATCCTTAATTTCGTCCTCGAATCTTAAGTATGTGATGCGCAACACTTAAGTTTTTCAAAAAATTTTATTCAAAAAACAACAATGTACGACAGTACTACCCGTAATGTAATAACTTGAACATATTGAGCAATGATCAGGAATTGAGGTATTCATTTCAGAGTTAGTTAATCAGAACTTTTCGACATTTGTAGCTATTCTGAATTAAGTTGTCATAGAATTCTGAGTTCGAATTTGAGCGTAAAATTTTTTTTCTCTTTCGAATTCTCTCAAACTTTTCAAAACCCCAACTATAGATTCTAAATCCTTCATTTCAAATACAAAAATCTTATGTTCAGCATCAGCAAGAACTTTCATTTTGAATTCTTCAATTTCAAATGATATTTTGAACCTAGAATCAAACGGAAGCGTCAGTGAAGTCTCCATGGTTCAGGTTTCAATGAAAACCTCATAAATACAAATATCTGATAACAATCAAATCTGATAACAACAAAATCACGAGTCACGCGTAGTAAGCTCAAACCACTGCCTGACTGCATCACTAATTGTAGCTGGTAACATAGCAACATGTCCAACAACCACATAAAACGGAAACGGAAATTTCTGTAGATATGGAATGAGATTCACATTTCCATCAGCTGTAAATTCAGCTACTTTCATATCCACGATTGACTTTTCACCATTGTCGATTGCCACAAAAAGTACTGTAACTCGGTCAGCGTGCACTTCTGCTACAGCCTAGAATTTAAATCTTATCACTTGATTTTTCAAAAGTAATCTATAAAAGCTTAGAAGATAAAGCCTGAAATATCTCAACATAACAAATTATGAAACTGATTATGGATGAAAAGACAACCAACTTTTTTCACTGCCTCAGCGCCATCCGCCAATACTCCCCTGCCATCCGAAACAATGATCAACATCTGGTTGTTTCTTTCGCGTCCTCTGGCTTGCTCAAAAATCTAAAAAGAAAATCTTTCCCCACAAACAAAATGTTCATTCTTACAATTTAAAAATCAAAAAATTTTAAACCAACATTAAAATAATTACTCCCATTGCAAAAACTTCGACGAATTCTAACCTTCTTACTACAGTTCAATAAATTGACTAAGTCGGTTCGGTTTTGACCAAAGTTTAGCTCGTTTATTAATTTTCCACCCAAGCCACTACCACCACGATCTCCAAAGTCGGAAATCATTTTCACCGAACCACCAAATTTACAGATTGCCAACTGTCCTATTTCAAGTCTTCGCAGTCCGCTTTCAATCATAGCAACACTTTGACAAGCTTTCTGAAACATTCATATTATCCTCAAAAATTACATTGACCAGCTCTATCTACGATTCTACCTATGACTCTAAGCAATATACTATCAACCAGTCTGTAAATATTAAAGGCAAAACAGTGAAAGCACGTGAAAAATAGAAACAATAAATTACTAGTTTCCATGCAGCAGTGAAGCTCCATTATTCGACTGTGTATACTTATCTACCAAGCAGCTTTCACTTTAAAAAACAAAATAAAAAATTACAAGTAAAGTTAAAACTGAAAATAAAATTCAAAACATACCAATTTAATTTGGTTATCGTGCATAGAAGATGAGTCGTCAACAGCTATTAAAATTTGGTAGTTGTGCTGAGCTTTTTTTGTACGACGTAACCAAATTTTATCTTTTCTATAGCCGCTAGCAATATATGCAATCAAACGACGCATATTGAGTCTTTTACCAGTTCGATAGTCACCTCTGAAATGGACAATGGGAATATTTTAAAAATATATAGTCATATATACAGGTTAGGTTTTCTAGATAGCAATCTGACAATCACTACTTTCTTACAATTACTTTCTCAAGTTTTTATCCTAAAATGTATTCTAGAAATAACTTACTCAAATCTGGAAGCCACCGTTGGTTCAATAATCATTCGCAGATTTTCCGAAAGCTCAGCTGCTAAAACAGAAACCGAATCAGAAATTCTATTCCATCGATCTTCTGCATCAGCACTCGACAAACCTACCTCCTCTGTATCCAGCAAAGTAATTGTCGAATTTGAACATCCCATCTGTTACAATAAAAATTAATGAATAAAAATTTTGTAACTTTTATAGTTGTGACTTGAAACTATTCTTTCGGTATTCTAACCTATCCTCACTCTCCTATTTTAGAAAACAAAATTTTAGCGTAAAGGGTAAAAATCGAACAGTCAACAAAAAAATGAAATCTTAAAAACTTTGGAAATTAAAAACAACAAGTCATGAGTCATAATTTCAAAATGAAATAGACAAGTTTCCAAGTTAACTCAATTTCAAAGCATAAAAAGCTTACCGAACGATGAAAATTTGCTGTTGAGTGAATAATAGAGCTTTGGAAATCGGAATCCCAGATATCAGTATCGATCAAATCGTCCTCGTCCACTTCATGTTCATCTCCGGCACTATTATTTTTCGTCATTTCTTCATCATTCTGAAAAATGGTATCCATTCAACGATGCAATAATAAAACTAAAACTTTAATGTCTAGTCATCGGTCTCCCAGTATCGATGATACTATGACACATAAAATTTGTAGAATAATTAAAATTAATATACGCTAAAATTAGAGGAGTTTTGTAACTCTCGAGAATCAATTGAGATTTTTTGCCAGACTGCTAAAAATTTGAGAATTTCTGAACTAGACTATCAAACGTACATTAACGACACACCTGTTCTACATTTATATTCTTCAAGTCTCTTAACTGGTCTCTATTTCCTTTTGAATTTCTTGCTTCTTCTACCGAACTTTTATCAATGACTATCTGCTCGCGCAAACTGCTATTATTTCCATCAAGATGTCCAAATTCGGGTCCTTCTTCATCTTTTTGCTGACCGTCTTAAAATTAAAAATAAATTATTACCAAGTCGAATAGAAAATACTACTGTTTATCGAGAGAATTTGGATCACTAGGAAAAATAAATCGAATAAACTACAAAGAAAAAAAAAAAAAACAGGAAACTTGTTTGAAAACTAACTTGGAAGAGTTTTTTGTACGACTACATCAGTAATATCATCAGCTAATTTCTTCTCTTTTTTGGATTCCTTGTCATCTTCCTTTACATCTTCTGATTTTTCATTTCTTATGTCGTCGTTTTCTGTTTCTCCACGACCACTTTTTCCCTTGCCTTCTATCCCCGCCATTAAATCACTGAAAAAGATATTTTTACAATTACAGATGTTGTTATAACTTCTAACAAAATCTTATTTCTCTTTAAAATCAACATACTTCTCTCTCATATTCTCATCATCCTCAGTTATGTCATTTGGATTTAAAACATTGTCACTGCCTGTGGTATCTTCCACTTCTCCTCTATCCATTCCTCCAGAACCACCTTTGAGGACTTCATCATCATTCTTGTTTAACTCTTCCACGTTAGCATCATTTGTTCCATTCTAAAAGGGAACAATTTTGATAAATAAATGACTAAGTCCAAATGAAATACAAAATATAAAATACAAAAGTTCGTCCTTATATTAAAAATTGAAATTTCAAGTGTGATGAAATAAACATAAGTCCGGAAAATTAAATAATCAGAATTTTGATGTGAATAAGACCTACTCCAATAGTTTTAAGAAAAATACCACAAGTATTCACACATTTAACTGCATTTGTTAAACATTTTTTAACACTCACGAATGTCCCAAATATCCCAAATACTACATATCTACAATAAGTAAGTACCAGAATTTCCTCCTTATCCTTTTCAGTCATTTCTGTTATCATCTCCTCTTCAACATCACTATTTGACTGATCGTCATCTCCATCTAAATTATCATTCATAACATCTTCCATATCGTTCTCTGACTTGTTTTCACTCTCATTATCATCATTACGATCTCCATTATCTTCATTAGTTTGTTCGTAATCCTTATTATCCACGCCATTATCCAATAAGTCACGCTCATCAACATTCTCCAATTCGTCATCAGCAGTGTCATCTTTACTATCATCACCATCAAATATATCTTTATCTTTTTTGTCATTTTTAGAATTCCGTTCATCATTATTCGCTTCCATATTGTCTGTTTTTTTATTTGCGCCTGGAACATATCATAAAATACACAAAGAGAAGATACTGATAAAATATAATTGATGGCTACAACAACACTATGCAACGCTACATTAATTCCCACTTCTTTGGCTGATTTAATCACAAGCTGTCATTTCAGATAATATTCCTATCAATCTTTCATTTTTCAGTCAAACTGTGCTTCTTGTCCCATTTTTTTTAAAGAAAAGCTGAATTCTTCCTTCGTTTCACCATATTTCATTTCAGAAGACTGATAAAATGACTCCATCAATCTTTCCCACTCGCAAAGAAATATTGAAATTAAACCTTCGCTGCCATCAGCAAGTTCTTGTTTATTATCATCATTTTGATCCCATAAATCAGGATCCAGTTTATCTTGCTCACTTTCGTTAACATCTCCCACCTCCATATCCGCTTCAAGTTCATTGTCTTCATCTTTATCACTTCCTTCATTATCTATAAGTAATCGAAAATAAGTCTCCTTGACATACAGATCCAATAACAGTACAAAAAAACCAATTTGTCTCCATTATGCGAACAAATTACTTAACTCGAACTGCTCAAACTGCTTCTTTAATCAATAAAGAATTAAACTAACCGTCGCACTGTTCACGATCAATATCCTCTAAACATCCACCAAAATCGTCATCCATGTCAAGCGGCGTACCATCGTCTTTATTTTCAACTGGTTCTACCGCATTTTCCTCCTCACCTCTCAAGCCTTCAACCTGAAAAAAGTCTTACACAAATTTTTGAAATCAATACAAATTCAATCAAAGATCCAGACAAAAGCTCAGATTTGAATTGGAAAATAAAGCCTTACTTTACGTCATTTGGAAAAAAATCGATGAAAAAGAGATAAGTTTAAATGGGCCAAATATATACAGTTTACTTTTCTTTACCAGTAGTTTCAAATAATTTACCTGTCCTGTTTCATCGATATCATCACCAACATCCTTCTCACCTTTAGCATCTCCTAAACCAGCAATGTCGTCATCATATGACTGCGGTTCACCTCCATCCTTTTCACTGCCCTCCTTTTGAGGCTTCGGTATCGGATTTACATAACCCTAAAGAATAACTGATATGACAGCACAAAAAATTAGCAATTAATTATTTCCCATAAAACTAGAGTTGAACTGAACATCTTCCAATGCAAAAAGAACATAATTGAGTAAAAAAAATGAAGCTGATCAAATTAAATTATTAATTGGCCCTTGTTTTTCTCTTCTTTTATTCGTATTTCTAACTAGTTTTAGAAAATTATTCATCTACTATTACTACATGCCAATACCGTTTAGAATGATTATCATCTTATCGTTACTTTCACATTTAAAGCCAGAAAAAGAAAAAAATCTGCAAAGCCGAAAAACCAACTTTTTCAAGTAGTGCAGCAGTCATTGATTCGAAGTGTATATAATATTTGGCCAACTCAATTGCAGAATTCTCAACTACCTCCAAAATGAAGGACAAAAGTTCACAAAGCGTACTACTTAACGAAGTTACTTGCTCCAAACGATCATATTCCATCGATCGCTTACCTTCAGATAATTGTACACACAAGTTCCATATTTCTTCAGTTGACTAGAACAAAAAACTCTTCAGTTTTTAATTTGATTTAGAACTTATTTTCAGAGACTCATAAGTCAAACCAGATGAAAAGCCCTCACAGAAACTATAGTTTGCATAATCTTTTGCATAACCTTTTCTCCATTTGATCAATATATTATTTGTTAAATTAAAATTCGGATTCAGCATTTAAGATGGATTCCTTTCAGGATGACAATCACTTGATTTAGCTCTTGATGGGTTAGTTATTGATAACCCACAGTTTGTTTTTGTTACTTCATCATATATACAGGGAAAATTTTTTTTTGGTTAAAGGTACCAAGTCTAACCTTATCAAAATTCAAATTTCGTAGTAAATATGTCAATTGCCTCAGAATATCCATAAAACGGTCATTGTCAAAATCAATTGACATTGCTTGCTTGTAAGTATTTTGCACTATGATCAACAAAGCCTGAATTCCCTCCCATTGTACATCTCCAGTCGTTGCCTGAACATTTGTCGGATTCGTCAACGCTTCTAAAACCTCACGCAAGATTCCCTTTGCCTCTTCGACCTCTTCAACCATTACACATGAGATGAGAGATAGTTGAGAATTTATATCAGTGCTTTCCGATTTCACAGTATTAATGGTGTGCGATATATCGGAACTGCAAAAATTTGGAATGTCTAAAATATCAATTAAACAGATTCTAAAAGTCGAGTCAGAAAGACTCGTCAATAAATAATAGATGTGAAAGCTACAGATCGATTAAAAAAGTTATAACGGAAGCTAGAAATTCAAAAAGCTAACTGAACTAGAAACTTACGTGAAACATGCATGAATCACAAACTTTAATTGAAATTCCTGATATATACAGAAATTTACCTTTTCCAAATAGCAATATTGCTACAATCCAATGAATGAAGAAGCGACAATTCAATAGTATCAAGTATTCTTGATGCTGCATCTCGTATTTTTCTAATTACGTCAAATGTTGCATTATATTCTTGATGTTGCTTATGCAACTGCGATAATCGAGTATCTTGAATACCACTGAGTTTCAGAACCTGAAAAAAACTGAATGTAAATTCAACCCAAAATATAATCATCAAAAAAAAAAAGGATTTAAGAGAATAACTTTAAAAAGAAAAAATAATAATAATAAACATATTCTTCCCTTTATTTAAACTAATCAACATGTATATCCGTGAATTCAGAAAAATTACCAATCAATATACAAACACCTGTCAGCGAAATTTTGCATGTCAGAATTTTTGAAAACAAAAATAAAATAAGTCACTAACAGTGTTTTCTTCGAAATCAGTATTGCATTCCGGAGCGTTCTCAAGTTTTTTTCCCATAAATTCCAAAAGCGAATTAAATTTAAGCGCTGAATATTTCGACTGTTGTAGACAATGCAACCACTGCTGACCATGTAAGCAAGGTTGTTTTATATCCTATAAAAAGTACAGGAGGAAAGCATAACTGATAGGATTTTGAATTTTCAGTTAAACAAAAGCTAAATATATTTAAATCGCCTATAGTTCTGTAATATGTCTGAGCACAAATACCTTAAAAAACTGTTTTTAAGAAAAAACTTGGATACCTTAGCATTTTTTAGATAATTCAACAACATTTTTTTAGAACTATCCATCCTCCTTAGCATTTCTCTGTTGACTGTTATAAGCTGATCACATAAGTACAGTTCATTCAGGATAAATTCCGTGAGTCCCTTTAATTCGCTCATCGTCTTCGTACCGATTTGGGCATTTGGCTTATGAAAGTTCTTCAAAACAACATTTCGTGATGCTCCTCCGTACCTTATAAACTAAATAAAGAAATTTCATAATTAAACGAGAAAAAAATCTATTCAACAAGTCTTAATTAAATCTATTGGATTACAATAAATCTGTTAGACTACAACATCAATAAATAAGAAACGAAAATCTGAATTTTACATAATTCTATTTGCAGTGCGAAAAAATCATGAAAATGAATAAATAAATTTAAATTTTCGGAAATTTCTGAGACAATGGGAAGAATGTATTATGTTCAGTTGCTAATTTCTAGAATGACAGAATAACGGCGGCAGCAAAGAAAAAGTCCCTTGTCGATTTACTAATTTTCAGGTAATTGAGTTTACTATCATCAATTAGGAATAAATGAAAAAGCCAACTCCATCCAAATCTCTTTTATCTCTATCTCTACTTTTCACAGTACCTATAGCTTAAGATTAAACTTGACAGACCCTTGTCAACATTTTATTGTCTTCAGGCATTCCAGCGACAACATTAGCAGTTAACTGTTCAGCATTAACCATCAAGCCTTTTCGAGTACTTAGACCAAGTGCAATACTATCTTTCAATAAACGTGCAACTGCCTGAAAGTAGTAAACGGATTTCAGGAAGAACTTAAATAAATTACTGCAGCAAACATTACAGCATTACATCATTGTTACTCTTTGAAACAAATCAGTCAAAGAATACTGACTCAGATGTAGTTTTTTCTACCGATTTTTTCATTTGCCGGATTACGATTGCTGTATGTCCACATAGAATGAAATTTCGAATATAATGGAAATTCAATCTTTTATTGTAAATAAAACCAAACATACCGATTCCGATAAAATCATTTTCTACTATGCAAATATGTTCTCTACCACGAAAAAATTTTACGAATCCTCTTTCATAAATCATAAGTATGTACAAATCCTCTTTTCACAATTCCGTCTAGGCATATACCGTGGGATATTTCTTTAAAATATATGTGTATTATACCTTTTGTCGTTCACTCAGTGCACGACCTTGCTGCTTTTCCTTTTCACTGTCGCTTCCCTCGTATTGAATGTCTTTACGAATAAGATCGTTGCAGCATTTAACAAATTCTGTTAACTGAAATTTCAAACTTTAAAGCAAATAAAACTTAAAGGAAATTTGCAGTGAAACGAAAATATTTATGATTTTCATGTACATAGAAGCTAATTGTTTTGAAAGTTTAAATATGGAAAAACAGCAAAATGATATAATGCGTGGTCATGTTTAAAATGACATTTCATTTCGATATGAGATCAAATTGATGTATTCTAATGTCCTCATCGAATAATTCTACACCAAATGATTTGTTAGACCCGATCGTGGCGCTAAGTGAATCAAAAGCATACTCAGAAAAAGAAATTTAGAGGTGTTAATATCATTCGAATGATCAGTCAGACATGCATGACATGCCCTACAACTTGTACTTTTTTTCCCCAACGACTTATCTAGAATAATTTTTAACATAATATATTATGGAACTTACTTCCTCAATATTTTCCAAATGGATACCATCCATTAAATGTTTCGCAATTTTTGACGTTAAGTCAACCGCACGTTTCGCATAAAAATCGTTACATGATATTATTCGGTCAGTAGCAAATGTCGGTTTAGTCTGATGTTCTGTTGTTGACAGCATCTGTGGAATTTCATCAAGAAGGGGAGCAACTAAATCACTACTGGATAATTTAAACTGTTTCAAGAGACGAAATAATTGCTTGTGAGCTTTTTGAGCTGATGCCTTCACGCTCCATAAATTTAAGTCATTGTATTTCATGATTTTTACAAAATCATGTAGCTGCTTTTCTGTTGGTTCCTTCTGTGTGGCTAATTTATTTTCAACTACCTGAAATCAAAAACTGTTGGACATGAGAAATTAAAGTTTATAAATATTAGTTATTATCTGCAAAATACAGAGCAGAAAATTTGGTTTCGAATTAATCTATGCCTTATTTTAAAATAAGGTTATCCGTTATACCGTTTACTTCAATTAGTAAGTTAGACCTATTCTTAGCAGGTATAAATTTAAATCCGAAATTAACTGAATTCTCACTAAGTTCAAATTCCAATAAGAAAAAAAATGGTATTTGTGATGGCACTGGAGTTTAGTACTTCTATTTCAAATTGTGTAGACGTCTAAATTTGAAAAAAAAAAACTTGCAGTGTCAAATAGCCGGAAATATGCAACTACTGATCTCAGGCGCTGACATAAGTTACCCCTCATACTTTCTTTTGCCAGCATGATAAACTTGATAAGCAAATCAGCAGTCAATAGCCGAGCTTTAAAGTCAATAATTGTCGAATTTTGTATCCATTCAATTGTCATCGCTAAAATTTCATCGTCACCTTTATCCACTTTATAAAGTGCTTCGAAAAGTGGCCACGACAACAGCAGTGTCTGTGTACGACAATCGGTCTGTAACAAATTTTCAAGCGTTCAGTCAAATTATCCAAATAGATTTGAAATTAAACATATAAAACTGAACATAACGACTACTTCCCAAATGTTTTACTCATAATAAAACTGACTGTAAAAAGTAAGAAATTAGACAAACTTCACATCAGGATTATTTTTCTAAATGACAGAAGTAGCTTATTTGATACTTCACGTAGATATTACAGCATTTTAAGTACCAATTAGTAACTAAATCGAAAATGTAAAATTCAACTACCTGTACTTGTTCAAGTAAATTATCCCAACACAATACTTCCATCTTACGCCAATTCACCAACAAATGTCGCAACTCTTCCAGTTCATTCATTAGCGAATGCTTTCGATCAGCCACTTTCTCCCATAAATCTGCTTCTGCTGAAAAAAAAAAAAATTCAACATTTTTTCTCTTAATGACATATTAATGAATTTAGAGAGCAGAAACATTTCCACTTGGTTAGAATACATAAAATTATGAATGATGATGATATGAAAAAAAAAAGGAAAAGCATAAGGTTTTCAGATCAGAAAAAGACAAAAGTCTATATGCATAAAAATCGTCATCAATGTAATATTAATCAGGTGATCGGCTACTATAGACAACCACTATAGGTCCTACCCAGCAGATGCTCCAGAAGTGCCGAAAATTGCATTTGAGAAGTTTCCATCGACGTAGACAATATCTTCTGTGCTCGCTGCAAAAATTAAGAAAATATAACAAATAAACCAAAAAAGAAAATGAAAGATTAAAATCGCTCAATGTTTAATAAACTATTGAAATGAATTGGAATCGCACGATTTTTAAACAATTACTTTTTGTATATTATTATTATTCATTTTTATCGTTTCAATTTTAAATCAGTTGAAACTCCTCATTCAGATATTGTATAGTCCACATTATTAAATCATATGTCACATTAACTTACATTGTCGGCAAGCAACCATGATATTAATACAAAACATTTTTCACAATAAAATAAATGGTAAAATGTAGACTTATAAATTACGACGCATCACCTGCAATATACCATCCAAGACTGTCATTTCAGGCCATTTTTCTTTTAACCAGTATACACGCTTAATTAGCGGCTTCATTGCTGTAATACATTTCTCCAACTCTGATCGGCTATTCCTTCGGTAAACGTCAACAACCCGCATATCTTGATTACGATCCAACTGATTAAGTGCGTACAAATTATAAACTGTAATAAAGATCAATAAAAAAATCAACCGATCGTGGCAACGTAGAAAAAACTGATAATATTAGATTTATCAAAAAAAAAGGAAACATGAAGCATTAATAGGAAAAAAAAATAAGCAAACAACTTTTTTTTCAAATCCATGAAGTTGAAATCAAAACTCATAATTTTTAAAATTTCTGAAATTTTATGAAAGTTTCAAGTAATGATTATAAAAACAAATAGTGAAGAAAATACCAAAAATTTTTGAATCTACAAAATCGTCCACAAGACCACAGGACAATGCTGTATCCATCATCCATGCTAAAGCCATGTGACCATCGTAGTTATGCATAGATTTCTCATCCGCCAATAAATGAAGTATTTCTGTTAAACCTTCGCTATCGATGCAGGTCTCAGATCCTGAAGTGAAAAGTTGAGGTTCTTCAAGTAAATCCTGCTCATCGTCGGAAGTTGAGAAATCTGGCAGCAGTTCTCGAAGCTGAAAAATATATAAAATGAAGCAATATTTGACATTCTGTTAGTCCTTGTTAGTTAAAGACATTTATATGCCTAGATAATGGCTCAAAAGTGACCAATAAAATGTCAAAAGTAAGTTGACAATTAAAGCAACAGAATCTATGTGACACATTTTACAAAAACGTTTTAAATTCAATATTAGGACTGCTGAGAAATCAGTGATAAATCCACCCATTAGGAGATTTGCAGTTAAATTGCACTCATAAATGGCTCCATTTCTCATGATTTCAACATATATTTATTTTTGTCTTATCCTTTCACACTAGATGGGGATATAATTCACCGCCTTTTTTAATTGTTATTCCCTGATAACTGCTGTATTCTACTCATCTTACATTACCTTTATGTCATCCTCATCAAGTTCTTCTTCTCCATACTTTGCGCTTTTTCGATAAACATACGCTTTTTCTTGCTTTTCTGTATTAGCTTTAAACCAATTCGACCACTCGTTTCCTGAAAAGCATCAATTTCAATAAATATATTGTACTTCCAAAATCTTGACCTTCTATTTCGCAATCGCCTGAATTGATTGTTTGAATCAAATGAAAACTTGATTAAAGAAATAAACAAAAATACGGTCAAATTAATTTTGATCCAAATCATAGTCACATTTTAAATAAATGAAATCAATTGATATTAGCCTGAAATTTTTATTATCAAGTATTGTTTTTTTTTTTTTTTTTTTTTTTCATTAAGTAGGATGAAGGCTTAGTTATGAAAAATGAAATATTTGCGCGAGTCACAACAATTTCACCTATTCGTCTTCTAAATTACAAAACATCACTCACTAATCCATTCAACAACTGCTTTGATCATAATCTCTTTGGGTTCGGTGAAGCACTGCCTGTTTTTCCTGTATTTCTGCAGAGAAAGAGCTACTAATTCTTTCTGTAGTCTCTTCGGCATTATTGTCTTCTGCGAGATACACCATTTATAAAAAACACCACTTTCTGGTAAATTATTCAAGCAATTCCATTTAAACTGCAAATTTTTGTTAAAATTACTTTGCTGTTATAAGCAAAACAATGATTTCTGCTCTCTTCAGACTATTTCATACTTGAAGTTTATCCGATTTAGATAGTGCAGTTATATACCGATAGCTTAATATGATCTTTTTACTTTCAGATTACGTCTTTGCTACAATGTTTATATCCCACTATTTCATGACTACATGCTTTTTACATCACTAAAACTAATAAACATATTAATTTCCGGAAATTTTAAACAAAATTTAAACGAGATATTTCTACACGCTTCTTACAACAAAAAAAATAATACAAATTAATTTATTCTCTCGCCGTCATCCTATTCTATCAAATTTGATTCATTAACTAATCCTAGAAATCTTATTTATTTTTTAAAATCAATGAGTTAAGATTTACCGAAAATTTGGTTGGAAAGTTGTAGGCAGCAATCAAATCGCGTGAATTGATTGTTTGAATCAAATGAAAACGCTTGTACGAAACCGCTGCCACCAAAACATTCAAAAACATGAAAAACGGGCAGATAATATCCACAAAAGCACTATATTCAGCAAATATTTTCTGAAAAAAAAAATGTACGGACATGCACAATTACTAATTTTTAAAAAGAGATAAGGACCAGACATATTCTTTAGTCATTTGGTTTTAAAACAACAGAAACATACATTATAGAAAGATTGAACAGATGTCAAAAAGGTATCAATCTGTGCTACAGTCATTTGAATATCATTATCCGATAAACTGTCTAAATGATCCAAATCAATATGGGAAAATGTGCGTTGCTGTTCGACAATTCCTTCCAAGAAAGTATTCATTGTTATTGCCAGTAATGGGAACTGTAAATTATGAAAAAGTCTTTAAGATTTTCAAGCAATATAAAAAATTTTTGAAGAGACGCAGCAAATGAAATTTCTTCTTAAAAAAATTTTTAGACTGACTTCAGCTTAGTTTCATATATTTGAAACTATAGTAATTAGGAGTAATAACATGCATATATATGGTAAATGACAAATCAAGAATTAGTTTCTAAAAATCGGGAATGAGGAAAATCTGCTGTAATAGATGCTCTAAAACCAATTTCTAAGTCAGCAATAATATGAATATGCTGTTTTTCCAAAATTGTCAACGAAAATATTACACAGTAATAAGCAAACGGCAAGAAATTAATTCACTAAGAAAAAAAATTTAAGCAATACCTTAAATTCTCTCATTTTTATCAAGGATACCTTAAATTCTATGAAAGCATCTTTTGTTAGAATTTAACTTTAAAAATTTACATCTGTATGCCGAGGACGAAAAGAAACTGTATTTTGCGAACAGTTTTGCAACTCCTTCACCACAAAATTATGCGCATTTAAAAGAATACTGATAAACGGATGCTTGGAATTTGAAAATAATGCCAAATCTGTTTGACCACTTACTATTCCCTGATAGGATTGTAGAACACCAACAATATTTTCAAGCAATTTTTTCTAAATTCAAATAATTAGAAATAATTAGTCACAATAAGAAACAAAATTAAACTGAGTAACACCAGTAGGTCAGTCTTTCTAGAGAGAAAAAAAAAACTAAGCAAAAAAAAAATTACCTTATTCATCAAATAATTGAAACTCATTTCATCATTTATCACTGGGTCAATGCAGTTCTTTGCCGGGACTGATAGTGATAACAACGAACAAGCAGCTATTTCCAGTCGTTGCATTAAACTCGACAAGGTAATGTTGGAAGATAAATTAATAAAAGATGGCGTATCCAGCAACGATTCGAAATGATCTATCAGAGTTAGAAGCTTTTCCCTAAAATAATTTACCTACTGAAAATACCACATTTCAATAACTTTTAAGCAATATTCTTGAAGGATCTAATCACTTTTGTATAATTTAATCAAAAATAACCACTCTAAAATGATCTACCACATGCTTATTTTCCAAATTCATTCCTGAACTATCACTCCACCAGTGAAACAGCAATTTTCTAATCATTTAAAAAACCTAACAAATATTCCCCAAACAATTTTCTGTCACCGTCTAATAGTAACCAATCCTGAATTACAATAAGATAGCGCATCAAAATCTCTGCACATGTTAGAGTAGACAAAAAAATCAGATTTTGAAAATCTAATTTAATTTATCACAATTTAAGCTTTAATGCTAACACAACAACGAATACAGCTATGATTAAGACCATACTAACCTGTATTTCATTTTAAAAGATTTTAAGTGAGCTCCGATCTTCCATAAATAAGTACATAAATGCTTTCGCTGGGTGGGAAAATCACCAAGCTGTGCCAGCGTAATCTCCTGTGAAGATAACTGAAAACTCATCGGACGCCATATTGACGAGAACAATTCAGTACCCAAAGTGACCCAAGCTAGATCACTATTCTGGAAAGAAAATTTAATTGTATTGAAATTCATGTCTTTCTCATTATTAACAATTCCATTCCATTAGTAACATCAATTACTTTATTGAACACCAAAAAGTCATTTCTACTATTCTATCTCTATACAGCGCAATTAAAGGACTTTTCTGTTCTTTAAATAAAACTGTTTTGAACATTGTCTGATCTCAATTCAAGATCTCCTGCAAGAATAGCAGAAACATAGAGAAAATCATAGTCTAATTTAAATAAATTCTATTAACTTACTTTACATGCAATCGGAATTTCTCGAACAGCAAAATCCGAGCTAAGATATTGGCTAAAATATGCAACTTGTGACCATTTTTCATCTTTAAGATTTAACCATGCCAAGCGATAAAGCTCAACAGGATGATGCACTGATATTGATAACAACTCAAGCAATGTCTGTAAAGTGAAAAGGATAATCAATAAGATGAATGCACAGTATAAAAGGGCAGTATATTCAGTACACTGTGTAATGGATTCTTTCACATACAATATGTGAATCATATCTTTACTGCAGCAAACATTTCCTAATTCTATTCTAGCAAAGTTATATCTATGACAGTAATCATCAAAGCACTTTGTTTTTTTTTTTAAACATCGATAGATCAATACCTGTTTTTCATTGTGATTATTCAAAATAGCAAAACCACAGCAAATATTCTTCATTAATTTCAGTGCTATGCTTAAAACACTACTCTTATTATCATCATGCTTTTCCATTTCAGCAATATTCTGTTGTATCAAGCAGCTTTCATTTTCCATTGAAATACTGCACGTATTCAAATCTTTGAGTTCGTCTTCATACTGCAATAAGAAGATAAACTGTCATCGGAACTTGTTAAATCCCAAAAGTTGCAGAATTTGCAATGTTTGAAAAATTCAATTCAATTCAAAAAAAGAAAAAAAAAAAAGATAAAAAAGAATAATCTGCATGCAACGTCATTTCTTAGTAATGAAGATAATTTGATCTTGTTTAAAAAATAACATACATAATTTCGTATCTGAAATAGATAAACAGAAACATGACAAACCTTTCTCCACTCCTCATAACTCCGAAATGGTTCAAAAAAGCTACATCGTTTGTGAAAATTAGAGTAACGCTCCAAAGCTTTCTTATCAGTCAACCACACTTTATCGATAGTAGTTGCAGCAGAACATAAACCTGTGGACCACCTGAATTAAATCACTAATCAATCACTTCATTAAATATGTAAGTACGTATGTAAGCAAAACGTTTCCATTTTAACTACTAATGTGTTAATTCTTAGGAATTGAGAAAACAAAGGCTCAGCATAACTGTTTAACTATACATCAGCATCTCAGACGCAAATTACCCTTATACCATCATCGCCCATTTTATCCAACTACTACAAAAGTAATCCCGAAACCGAACTCGAACTCTACGACTAATACATGGCAATTCCTAGCAATACACCACCAGTCGAACATTACCTTACTCATTGTCAATATAAATTATTTTGCAGAGCGCAATTACATATTTCTCATTGATTGTTTCATAATGGATAAATATTAGCTATAGCTTGCATGTTTTCTATTATTTTAAAGCTTCAAAATTTTCAAATAACTTACTGTTTCCAAATATTAGAATAAGAAGGATCATTCAAACGCTGCCATGCAAGATGAAGTGGAGCACATCCACTTCGTAAATCCATTTGCTGATGGCATGTTTTTATGAAAAGTGTAATATTCCACAAGATCTGAAACCTCATTGTTATATTAAGCACTGCACATTTAAAGTTTAGCATAATGAAATCTAATATCTTGCATAAAGCGGATACGAAAGTGATTTACAATTTTAATTTGCCTATTATTGATAAAAACATTGATAACATCACTTCACTTGTAATTAGTCATTGGTTTACCAATACATTTATTCTGCAAAATTTGCTTCTCGAGCAACTTAACGCTTTTAGCTAGCCTTTATATATGATTAACAAAAAAATACTCATTTATGACAAAGTGCTGCTCGTACAACACGTCCAGAAAGTAAATTATCAACCGTTTTTTCTCTTTAATATTCCAAAAATTTGACAATAAAGCAAACAGAAAAAAAATATAATCAGAGAACAAAAAAAAAAAGTTACTAAGCAAGAATCCGAGACCGCATAATCCGTTGAAGGAAACTTTGAAATGTACACATTTAATTCATTAAGCAATTCTTTCACATGTGAAATTGCAGGTGAAGGAAGTTGGTCACTCCGGATTTTTCCTAGAAAATCAATATTCAAATTTTTACAGCTAACCTGATTTAATTAAGTCTATTACATATCTACCTAGAAGCTTCAATGTGAAAAGAATGAATTAGGAGGTGTTGAAACATATCTAAACATTGAATCAGAAATTTCAAGAACCAAGTAACCATCGATATTGTTAAATTATGCATATTTAGATTCTTACAATCGGTATAGAAAAGTCTGCAAATATTTCTCGGAATGCTCTGTGAGTCAAGATCTTGAACTCACTTTTAATAAAAAGATTGCTTAGGTCAACGGCAGATCCTTTCTCAGTCAAAATCTTATCCAGATTAAACTTTGTCCACAAAGCGCACATCCCGATGATAAATCTAGAAAATTGTTTACTGATATATTTTCTAATAAAAACAAATTATCAAACTGTTGTAAAAAAAACTGATTTAACACAAAAAATTGATCCAACTTAAATATAAATTTAATTCAAAATTCATGATCAGCAGAATCAGCAGTCCAACTGTCAGTCACGCTAGTGCTATTGCTAGCATCATTTTAGAGTCTAATTTTCAAGTTTCAATAGATATGTAAGAATTAAAGTGTAAATTTACATATATAAATGAAGAAATTTTAAATCATGATAAAGCTTTTTCTGTCCTTTTTCTGTTCATGTTAGTAACAGAGTTTGTTTTTTGTTCTATAAAGTGATTTGCATCAATAGATAATATGACACCTATCATTGTCTATATATTTGTCTGGAGGTTTTGTAATGCGCAATGTTGGAGAACCATCAAAACGTTCGTCATAATCCAGTGCCTTATTTTGTTTCAGGTTTTGAATGGCTTCAATAACCTTATCTCTTGCTTTCGTATCTAAAAAATATTGTCAACAAATTAATCAATGAATTTATTAAAGATTTGGTAATCATTTGTTTAATGAAATATTAATTTAAAAAATTAACAACCTGTGCACTTAAATAGTTCGACCATTTCCTCAATTTCCAGGTGTTTGAACGGAATGCAAAATGTAGCCCAGAGAACACCAAGCATCCAATCATGTTGACTTACATAGGACCAAACCAAAATTTTCCATTTGCTGTATATGGTAGCAAAATTAGAATCTATTGCAGGGTAAACTATGAAGGTTTCTTCGTTGTTCTCATCAGTGTCCATGACTTCTTCATTCATGATTATTTTGAAATGCTGAAATTTTGGAACTCAATTGCTTCATTCAACTCGGAATTTCAAGTTATTACACATCTAATTATCATATCAATAACACTAATTACTCCGAACATTTATTTGATCCTACTTTTGCATCGAAGAAAAAAAATTCGTAATTTTCGAACTGCTGTCAGCTTTTTAATAGAAATACGAACGTGAAAGCTGACCTTTATTACATTTACAAAATCCGCGTCTTTCTCCTTCAAAAGTATCTTTAACTTCAACAACTCCCAGCATGAAAGCTGCTCATATGCTTGCATTATTGCTGGTGTAATTCGTAGAATATTTTGATTTTCCGTGTTCATCACCATATTCTTGAAATAAAGTTTACAAAGGTAAAGCTAAGAGTGTACTAATGAATTTAGAATAATCATTTAATAAAAAGGAGAAGAAATGTTATCCACAACTAAAACCAAGAAAAAAGAAATCAAAATTTCTTGATAAAAAATAGAAATAAGAAGTACGTACCACTAGATCTTGTGCTACTCTAAACCAAACACCATCATCAGGAAGTAAATATAATTCTACTGAACGATTACGCATAGCTCGTGAAACGCTGCCGTAATCATCATCCATAGTGAAGAAAACTCTAAATTTATGAAACCATTAAACTGTCTAAAGTAACAATCTAACAAGACATCAAAAAATTATGAGCCAAAATAATACGAAACTTTTATCACTCAATTACTTATAGTAGTTCAGTACAGCAAATAATCGTTCAGAAGTTGGTCTGAAAAGTAAAATTAACAAACAGTAACCGGAAATCATTATGTGCTTTTACAACAGAAGTACCATCACCACATTCTTGTAAATTCAATTCTCCATTATTTTCCAAACAGGCATTTAATCGATCCAATACTGCGGCACTATAAAAAAACGAAGTCAATACAAGAGGTCAATATATCGCCTTAATCAAACAACTAAAAAATAGTTCAAAGTTGATGATTAAGAAGCAACCTGCAACAATTAACATTTTCAATCAAAATCCAGTAACCATTGATAAATGCATCAACAAAACGACTATTAAGCCATTCAAAACGCATTTTACTTTCACCCAATTCCTTGTAGTAATCCAACAATTTATTTGCAATATCTATAAAAGGAATACTTAAAATCATTTTGTCATGGATAATAAGTAGAGCAAATTAATTTCTATTTTTAACAATATAGAATATCCAAGAATTCTTGGAAATGTCAAAATTCAAAAACACAAACCATCATCGACAAGAAGCATAGCGGTTTGTATAGCTAGTCGTAAAGTAAGTATATCACTAGCACTATGTATATCATCCAGCAAATCCGGAAACCGTTTAAGCAAATTCAAACAGTGTTGTTTTATGGAAGTGAAATTGATCTGATCGGTAATCTTAATAATGCGGATATTAATTAACCTGTATATTATTTGCTAAAATATATTAAATTCTTAATTTGGAATTGAAAAATATACAAAATTGTTCCCGATATCATACGGTACAGCAGAAAGGAACGACCGAATGTACTACAATGGTTTTAATATGAAAAACACATGTTGATGAAATCATGATTATTTATCCTGGATAATAAGAATTGAGAGTGTAATAAATATTGGTAAATAGTGCTTAATTAGCCGTGAAACTTTGAAAAAAAAAAACATTCGAGATTACTTGAAATGAAAATCTCTTGTAACCTGTTCAAACGACCCGAGAAGTTCGAGTGAATCAGATTCTGAAGTTAGATGTATCGTATGAAGCTTTTTTCCCAGTAACGATGCCAAAATGCTTATAGCTGTTGATTTGCCAGAACCAGCTTTTCCGACAATTAATGCAAGCCAATTCATTTTCACGCAAATAGCAAGTTTATTCAGCAATTTCATTTGCGATGACAACAATTTTCTGAAGAAACAAAGCTCATTTAATTTCAGTTTACGTCAGTTAAGTTCAGTCTCAAGAAAGCTGTGTTAAATGTAAATTTCGAAAATTAACTTAGACTTGAATTTGAAAAAAAGGGAAATAAAATCTACGTATTTTGTCGCCCGCATATTGCTCCCGATCGTTCGAATTCTACTTTTCCAATGCGAATATATGAACCAATCAAAGAAAGTGATGCTACAGCTTCAGTACATTCAAATTTGAAACATTCATAAAATAAGCTTCGCATCTGTAACATTGATGACAAAAAAAAAAGAGTCCAAGTTCTAGTGATCTATGAAATTCAAACTTTTGTGGACGGATAAGTCGGATAAGTTTTATATTATGACATTAATCATTCCTGAGATATTACACCAACCAATCTTTTTCTCAGTGAATCGAAAGAACTAGCAAAGTTAAACCTACTTTTTGTCGATCAGCATTACTACGTAATCTCCATACGTACAATAAATCAAAACCATATGCAACATCACCATTGTTCTGCAAAAGTAGAGAAAAAACTGTTTGACACATATCTTAGTAAATAGTTTCCAGCTAAATCCGTTAAAAATTCGAAAAATATAGTGCAAAGTTCAACTTACAAAAACTTCTTTAACTTACTTCAACCGTTAGTTGTGCCCATCTCAACAAATCACGCAAATTAAATTCAAATGGTGATCCCTTCCTTAGAAACTCTGGATCTTCTGCCATAAGATTTGTTATTGATTTGTTCACATTAACCATACGTTGGATAATATCATCAATCAATACAGATCCAAATGAACTTCTTATAACTTCAAAGAAATCTGATGTATCCATTTCGGCTACATAAATCTGCAAACTTTTTTCTGATTCAAGGACAATATATCATTTTTACCCACTCAAAAACGAATGATACAGATTTTACTAAAATAAATCATATTACATAGTTTGAAATAAATTAAGTAATCTGCATTTTGGGTAGTTTCCAAAAGATTTAATATTACGAAATCCTATAATCTTTTTTGTCAATATTGAAGAAAACATACAGATGTGAAGCGATTAACATATGATTTGGGTAGCTTCCGTCGATTGCCTCCTTGAGAACATGGATTTTGACATGCAAAAAAACGCGTTTTCCTATCACCAACACCAATATCGAAGGTTCGATTCAGTTCTGGTATGAAAAGATGATGACGATGGTCGAAACATGCATTTAAACCTTCCAAAACACTCTGTGATGCCAGATTCATCTTAAAAGAATTTATACATTTGATTTTCAAATAATTCAATTTACTATTCAGTTCGACAATCCTATTTATTTAATTTCCTTAAACTATATAAACACACCACAATCAAACACTATAGCCGAATATTATATAGTAAAGATTGATATCCTATAAGCTCTAATTTTACATATGAAACATGGAATAAGTAATTCCGTTGGAAAGAATACAATTTTACTTTAATATTCATCATGCCATTTTAAGTGATCATCTTTTTGAAACATAAGTCGTTTATATGTATCAATAGAAAAAATATGACTATGACTGTTCAGTTTTCAAATTAATATGAAAAATACCAGTATTAAGTATACTACAAAATATCCAATAAACATGGAAAAGCCACATATAGCAAAAATCTTAAATTATGACCTCATCTAGAAGAACCCATTGTCCAGTTTTGATTGCATGCAAAATAGGTCCATCTCTCCACATGAAAGATGGTGTACCATCAGACAAAATAACGGGCACATCGCAACCGAAGAGATCTGCCAAGTCCTAGAATAGTTAATGCAAGTTTTCTTTTCAACAAAAATTTATCATCAACAATTATAAATTTAGCCATGTGTTTTAAAAAAAAAAAAAAAACAAGAAACTACCGTTTGTTCCGACAAATTCAATCTAGTCAAAGAATGGCCAGTAACAGCAGCTAAAGCAACAACAGTGCTTGATTTACCACAACCTGGAGGACCTTCAAGCAATATTGGTTTATCAACAGCTAATCCACGCACAAGCCTAGAAACATATTGTTATGTAAAAGTTAAATTTTGAGTAGTTATTTGAACAATTTTAATATAAATCGCATAGTAAAAAAGAAATGCTTTTTCTAAAATATAGTTTTTATTATGAGAAACTATAACTTTACGGCAAATACTCATGAATCATTTACCACTATCTCTAAAACCTTAATCGTCGATGATTTCAGTTTTCTAACTTTTAGTTTAATTAAATAAGACTTAAAGGAAAGGAACAATTCAACTATTCACAAAATATGCAGCACAAGTTATTTCAAAATAGAGCAAACTAAAATATCAAGATAAATAGAGCATTATTTTTTGTTAAGAATTATGCAGTAATAAATCCATAACAAGAAATATTTAAAATTGAACGAGCAGTGTGTTCTCATACCTGAAAATATTCTGCTTACATGTCAGGGCATCAAATGTAAAATCTTTGGGTATAAATCGTTTGGCTGGTCCAAAAGGAATACGAAAATCTCCAACAATGAGACTATGTGAATCTTTTTCATCGAAATGCAGTGTAGCCGGTAAGGAAAGCGATGCTACATCACAGACGCTATCCAATTCTTGTTGAATAATTTGACAGAGCTACAAAAGAAATGCTAAATAACTACAAATGTATATTATTTTATTTGGACAACAACTTCAAGTGTAATAATCTAACTCGTAAGGGAACCGTAAATGAACAAGGAAGTCTAGAATTTAAAACAATCTGAAAATAAATTAGTGCTGGAATTATCTGGAAGTCACAAATTCCACCCATCCTAGAGTTATCCCCATTTTGTAAGACAAAACAAATAACAAGTAAATTTTCGCAGAAAAGAAAAAATTTTCACTCCATCAATGGCCTTTTTCTTCAAGACATTGCAATCCAAACTGATACGAGTCGATAAAGTACCAAAAGCATCAAAAAGAGTTGCCGAAAAAGCATGGTAAATTGAAAAAGATGGTGAATTAGATCGTGACAATGCAGCAATAACAAGCTGAGTAACTGCTACTATATCACGAATTGTTATCGTATTCCTGAAATTTACAGGAATCTTATTTATTCGGCTTAATTTTTCCATTTAGAAACTATTCATTATCAAATAGAAAATTCTGAATCAAAAACAAAACTCAGGTAAGTCCTACATTTCACTGAAATTTGAACCTTCCATCCAGCATTTAATTTGTAGTCATATGAATTCACAAACCTCAGCATATGAGAATATTTATGATCGAACCACTGCACGAATTTTACAATACATTTGCTAACTTTTAACCGCAAATCATTCTCATCCAGCAGTGTAGTTGTACTCAGCAGTTGATCCACAATAGCAGTTAAATCATCACCGAATACATTTGATGGACACCAAATTTCTGTGAATCGATTTCTCAGTGCTTTTGAGAGCTACAACGAAATGACTGAATAATCTACTTCGAAATTATCTGACCCAATAATATTATAAATGCACAAAGATTTTGTAATAAATCATTACACTGCACTGACAATCATAGATCCCTGAAACATAAGCTTTAAGCTCTCGTCCTTCTTATGAATTTTAAGTAAATTGTTAAATATAACAAACCTCTTTTTTACCATAATCTCCACCGGGATTCATAGTTGCTATAATATTGAAACCACTTTTTGCTTGTACTTCCCCACCTGATAAACTGCCATCATTCAAAAACAATGAACGGGATGGCTCCAGCAAGGGATTCAGCCGTTCCAAAACCTGTTCATAAGAATGACTTAAACAACTCAGTTAAACTAACAGGTAAAATTAAATAGAATATTCAAGACAAAAAAGAAAAAAAAAAAACAACAAACCGAATCAGAAGCAAGCGAGATTTCATCTATAAGAAGTGGTCGACCTTCTTTCATTGCCTGTACGACTACTCCATATATCCATTTGAATGCACCATTACCAACCGGACGTAATGAACCCAGAAAATCAGCAGCTTCCGTTCTTTCATGACAATTCAAAGCCAACAGATTCTCCTGCAATATTTTTTAACTTATCATATTATGATTTAATGAATGCTAAGTTCTAACAAACTATACGCAAATCAACAAATCCATGGAATGAAAAGTTTTTCTCAAGGCATTTTTATAAATCAGTTGTCATTTTCCTCCAGAAACCACACATAAAGATATCTTCTATCCATCCTACAAAACAAAAGAATCACCTTTGCAAGCATCTGAGCAACCGTTGTTTTACCACATCCTGTTTCACCAATCATTAGAACTGGCTCAGCAAAGTGCCAACTTTGTGAAACCAAAACAAGCATCCTTCGAATGGTACTGGTTAAAACAATATTATTCACAGCTGTGCATGAACGAAATTCAGGCGGTAAGTAGTGCGAGTCAGTGGCAAATAATCGCTCAACATCTATTTTACGCTTCAAATTTTTTTCCAATATTTTTTTCACGCATTCGACATCGACTGCATTACGACATCGTGCACCAAGCAACATAAACCCTGAATTCTATGATTTTTCTTCGCCAGTTTTTGGTGATTGTTTCAAAAATGAAATAAGCAAATACGAGACTACATGCTCTGAAGAAAACATCGATAATGTTGAGACATGTTCAGTTTCTAAGAAATTACTAATTGATTAATTTCTAATATATTTTTGGTCTTAATTTTAATATTACTAAATTTGTCTCATATTTTTCTTTAAATTTAAAATACACTGAAAAAAAAAAAAAACATATGTTCAACAGCACAATTAACACATTATATGATAGAAAAAGACTTACCATGTTCAACCAAACACTGACGCCAATCATTGTCATTAGAACCTGCAAGTCGTTGTCCCCATCTGAATAAATCACGAAGTGTCATCAACCCATCACTGGCTGAAAAAACGCCAATCGCACTACGCTGAGCACGTAAGTCACAAAATACCGAAACCATTGCTTGTGCAGCTGATGGGGCGATTTTACAACTGAAAAAAGCATTCATAAAAGAATTTAGATTTAATTTCACTAAATATATTCAAAATATTTCGTCACAATATTGAAGCAATGTTGCATATTGTAGTGCCAAGAAATAAACCACCGAAAGGAAGATATACACACAGAAGCACTGGTAAACGTTACTTGATTAAATCCAAATGGATCAAAAGGAAAAGGAACAGTTTATTTCTGGCATTTTGAAAGTTTTCAAAATTATTCTGGCTATACCTTGACTGATCAAGACAATCAAGACATGATCAGAATAACACAATATTGGAAAAAATTTTATAATTACAAAAGCTTTGGAAATTATTATTACCTAACGATGATCATTTGAGCTAGTTCATTGTATGGCAGTTGATCGAATTGCAAAACAATAAAACGATTGAGCAAAGCACGTGAGAGAGGTTTACGACCGGCATAAGTGCAAACGGGATTTTGCGTTGCAAATACACGAAATCGGGGATTAGCCTTTACGACTGTGTTCGTTTCAGAAATATACAATTCACGATTATCATCTAGCAACTAAAATTAAAACAAATGGCAACTAAAATACATGCAAATCTAATCTCATTTACAAACCGAAACGCAAATTGTGAGTGAAAAGATCGAATATCATGCGTGTTATTCCAATCCTTAAAAATATTTGATCAAAAAACATACCCTATTGAAAGCTTCAATGATATCGGTTGGTGCAAGATTTAGTTCATCAAGAATTATCCAATGTCCATCACGAGCAGCTTTTACTAATGGACCTTCCATAAATACGAAACGGCCATCACCATCTGGTACATAGGATCCCATGTATTCTTGAAGATCGGTATGTTCATGATTATTAATCCGAATAATTGTATTTCCAGTAATTTTAGCAAGATGGATTACCTAAATATTTTATTCAAATTTTAAATTCAAACTTCAAAAAATCACAAACAGTAAAAAATTTCAAGAATAAGTTTATGATGAATATACAGAATAGTACGTTGGAAACGTACAATTAAGAGAACATTTTTATCTCATTTATGAATGGTCTTATCTTCTAAATATTGTACAGTTCAGAAATTTAAAATTGGATTTTATTTATGTAAAATCATCAATTTAATATCAGTTACAAACGCACCATGGCTGTTTTTCCACATGATGTTTCACCTTCCAACAATACCGGAAATTTGCCACTACAAACGATTCGAGCAAGATGGGCTAAATTTTTTCGAACTGAAGCTGTACAAACATAACCGGAATCATCCTGTGGTTTAGCACTTCCTTTTTCGATCCAATATCCTTCAACTTCACTGTAAAAAGAAAAAGAGAAATGGCCACAAAATGGAAAAAAAAAAGAGAAAAAGGAAGCAAAATGAAATCAAAAGACATTCAAGCAATGGCTTTACAAAAATTTTATTATTTTATTTATTTGTCACAAGATATTTCTAGAGTTTTACAACCTCATGATACCTCACTAGTGTACCAGTTACTCATTCACTGTAACAGTCAAATAAACTATATTTATAAAATTTGCATTTTCTAAATTGTATTTGATAAATGAATCGAAGAATTCAAGGGAAAGAGAATATAGCACATAATTATTGAAATATTAGTGACACATACATGCGATTATCGATAAATTTCGCGTTCATTTTACCCAGTGAGATTTTTTTCATTTTACTTTGAATAAGTTTGCCAACCACTGCTTGAGCTTCTGCATTCAGATCACTCATGAAGGACATAGATACCGCTTCATACATGTTACGTATCTCATTTCCAAATACATTCTCTGCCGTGAATGCCAAAGCACGACATAAAGTACGTAAGCTGAAAAAAAAAATTGGCATATGCAAAACATTAATTTCTGATCTTTCATGAAAAAAAAAAAAAAAAACAGTTGCAATAAAGATGTTAATTGAATATGACTGACTTAAATGCTTCAGAACAAACCTATATTTTCCAGGAAAAGATATACGCAATGTCTGATAAAGTTCCAGCACAACAGATATTTTTGCAGCATCAAATGATGGAAGATAAGCCTGTGCGATGATATGCAGTTGGTCCATTTCTGTAGTTTCATGTACAAAAATTTCAGTGAAGCGACTTCTGCAAAGACGTAAAATCGCACGCTGCTAAATTAATTTTAAGAAATCAGAACACTCAATTTTTTCTCAAAAATTCTCTCACCTTATTCCAGCTGGTAGATTTCGTTTCCCTACATCACTGGCAGGATTCATGCATGCAAACAAACGGAAATCTGGATGTCGACTTTCTGAATCTTCAGTAAGGCGTACCACAGAATCCAGACATTCCGGTGTAGCCAAATTAATTTCATCAACCAGAAGCCACTCACCTCGTTCAGCAGCCTAGAATAAAGGACAACTTTGGTAAGATGTAGCTTTAAAATCAGACAGCAAAAACGAATATTTGTTAACAGAAAAATAAAAAATCATCTGAGACTAGAAAAGCAACGTTCTATAATTGTAGATTGGAATTTTAAGAAAAATAAAGCTTTTTAGAGATTTACTTCAGCAACTGCTCCACGAACATATGCAAAAGAAACAGCTGAAGCTTTCAGTGATTCTGCACAACGTTCTGCTCGAACAAGTAACTTCGCCCACGATTTGAGAGAGTTATGTTTGGATGACATTTTTAATCTACGACGTGATGTTTCCGCAATTAATTTTGCATAGTCACTGTATCGTCCATTTGATAAACACATCTACAATGATTTGTTTCACTTGTTTTTTTTTTTTGGGGGGGGGGGGTATCTCTGGAACTGTGCTAAACAAAACTCATATTCCTGATACAACCAAATTACGTAAGTAAAGCCAACTACAAATACTTTATCTTCTTTTACTACCCTGTTAATAGTTTTTTTTTTTTTTTCATTAAAAGAAACGACAGGCTTCATGATGATAAATTACTTCTTTACATTTCAATACAAGTGAAACAAGTAATGGATACGAACCATCAATTTTAGAGACAATTTTAACGACAACATGTCATAAACAAAGAGGCATCTGGTGGATGTTAAATGTTCTTAAAATATTAAGCATTTTCTAATTAAACTTTCGAATGTAATCCAAAAATGTCTCGAAAATAACGGAAAACTCACCTCTAAGTGATTCAGAAACTTTTCATTTTTTATCAAATCAAACGTTGCAGCAAATAAATCATCAAATTCTTTTTTTAGTGGTCTTAACAAATAGGGTATTGATACTGGTTTATACCTAAAATGTCAATAAACCATCAAAAACACATTATGTTCGATTATATTTCAAATTAAAAAAACATATATTGTCCCATAATATGCATGCTATGCGTAAATGAATGAAAAGAATAAATTAATTAAAATTTTTACTCGAAATATGAAAAATTAAAATTTGGAAGTTCATAACTGAAATACATACCCGCCAATTAAATCAGACGAATCTGAATGTTGACTGAGATTAACAACTCGAAGAGTAGTGCCAATACGATCTGCTAGTAATTGTACAATAGCTGTTTTACCAACACCAGTTTCACCAACAAGCAATATTGGCTCCATTCGGCTTACACAAACTGCTATCCGCTCCAGTAACTGACATACGTTACGTGTAATGCCAAAACAAGTAACCTTGCTAAAATTTCAATTCTCGAAAGAAAAATTAATTAGTTCTAATTAAATGATTATATTATTGGATTACTGGTGAACGTTCTCATACTGATATACTCTTACTTAAATGCAATAAAAAAAATCTCGCTTCAATCCTTTAAGTAATTTTCCATGAACTTTGTTTCAAATTTTTTCGTTGGTTTAATTTAAATTCTACGTCAATTGCAATCATTTCTATGCATGTGATATTAACATATTTGATTTCAATCGTAAATAATGTATGTGCTCTATTATTTTGACTCCTTGTCCTTGAGGAATATCTTCATTCTCTGATTATTTATGTATCTCTATTTAATTATAACATTTGCTAAACCAAATTTTTCCTGCATTTTAAAATTTTAATAACTATTTTAAAAACGCAACATTTTTACCTTTCTCCTTTTATTTGATTTCTCGGCAGATTTACTCGGCCACATCTCATGCTGGTTTGTGTCACCGAAATTTCAGGTAACCGGAGGTTCAACTGATACATTAGTTGATCGTGATTCAAGGACAAACTGTTGGCAATTATTTCCGAACATGCAACAACATCTTCCTGCCTGCGGCAATGAATTGCCCAACAGTCAACCAATTCATGAAAAATAGCTATCGAATCCGACAAATCATTTAAATCGTTGATACGTGTGCAGGCTTTCAATAAATCCCTGCAGAAATCCGTTACAACGTATTAGTTTTTGGCAATGCTTCCAAATAAATTCATTTTTCTTTTAAAAACAAATTAAAATCATTTAAGAAACGTACGTCGCTCCTAATTTTCTTCCATTCAATTGATTAGCCGAGTTGTTGATAAATTCGTCAAATAATGTAATCAGTTTTTGAGCAATTGGTGCAACCCTTTTGCATAAAATACAAATAGCACGATGAAGTTCACTATTTGAAAATGGTGGCAGCGAAATTTCAAAAGGTACAGAAGTAAGCAACAATTCAACATCAGCTGATCGGAAACTTCTTTCCTGTCTTATACATCTAAAGACTGAATGTTATTGTTTTCCGAATCAAACGTTAGATATCCTTTTTTTATTAGTAATGTGATTAGTCTAAAAAGAATTTATCCGGAATCTTATAAAAAATCCTAAGGATTCGAGAAATTTTTATAAATTCTTTAATTGAAATGTCTATGTTTATGCTCACCGATTTCTAATAATCTTGCATCAAAAAAAACAGACCTCATTGTAGCAACAATATAAGCTTCATTATGCATTCGTATTGTTTCACCGGAAGTTACTCGTACTTCACGACTATCACATAAGTTGATTATTTGTGATATTAGATCAGCCGAAGCACAATCGATATCTTCCAAAAGTATGATTCCCTTATCAAGAATGTACTAAAACTTAATTACAATTAATTTTGAAACCAGCGATTAAACAGCGAATAACCACGAAACCAGAGCTTAATTCGTTATTTACATTAGCATTCCGTATCGAACTATATGTCAGATAATTATCTATTTTTACTCCACAAAAAACCTATCACTGAAATGACTCATTAAATCTATTCTTGAATGACTAGAATTTCTTTTGTAGAAGAAAATACATAACGTATTTGTCAATGGATAAATGACATAGTACATCCACGTTGAGATCAATGCTTTCGTTTACTTGTTCAACTAATTTGTTATAACCCTAGCAATTAAAATCAGCGATGATCCAAAGCGTCTTTCACAAAGAATACGAAAAAAGAAGATTTTGATCTTATTAAAGGCTCATAAATAATCTATAAAATAGCTAATAGTATCTATGCCAAAAAATCATATTTTTATTGGAAGCAAATCATACCTTCGTGAAGGTGCTCTGTTTCCAGCAAAATTCACCAGGTATATCAAGGCAATGAAATATTCCGAACAAAGTTTTCGAATCGATTTGTTCACCCATTTGTATAGTTCGACATGGTAATTTCATACTGTGTGCAACTTCCTTTATAATCGATGTTTTACCACAACCAATTGGACCCTAAAATTTCAGTGACAAAAAGTTAAATGATCTTCTTGCAAGAGATATGTGAAAAGAAATTAGCTCACTTAGAACTGAAAAGGATTCCAAGATAGACTGAATTATTAGGACCCATATTTTTATACTACCAACAAATTTACGCAATAATGAATTCATCTGCTGAAGTGGGTTAGTTCGGTGCTGCTACATATCATCTGATGAGAAAAAAATTAGCAAGAAAAATTGTTTCAAATGTTATTTTACTCCTATAACTCTGTCCGCAATTACTTTTGATCCTAACAATAATTTGTACATTAAATGTTTAACGTACGTCATTTACTGCCATCATCCAGTCATTATCATTTCCATTCTTCCGTTAAGTAATTAAAATCGTAGGCAAAAGAAAAAGTTTTACATAAGATTCCACATTTTGAATTCCAATTTTTAAATTAATCTTGCAAAATTCAGATTTTTAATTAACCTTTTTGCTTTTGAAATTGTAAAGAAAACCAATAAGCAGAATCTTTAAATTTATAATAACAGTTTCGAAAACTTACTTGTACGAGGACAAATACACGATTTCGGATGCCAACCTCCAACTGTTCACGATAAGTAGCTCTAGTAGGCATAGTATCAGGTACAAAATTAGCCACAGATTCGTTCTCTTCACTGGACTTCCTACTTCTTATCATTTTTTCCGGTTTTCTGCTTTCTGCTTCATCGGTAAGCAATAACTTTCGCTTCTGCTTTCTTGTCTTTTTCACTTTCATTCTCCCTTCCTGAATTGAAAAAGTACAAAAACAAATTTACATCTCTACATAAATTGTTTTGGACAGTGCCAGATTCGGGCGGAATAGGCTCTGTTATATAGCTTATATCTCGCTTGATTGCCAAACAACACTTGTCAACAAACACTTAAATCTCGATAAATGAATTTAACATTTAACTTGGAATTTAACATTATCTCCATCTCTCAGATATAATCACATTAATGTATCATATATTCAATATTAAAATATTGGTACAAATCGGTATTGATGAAAAGTTTATTTGAGCAAATTTATTTTAACAAAATAAGTAATTTTTTTTACAAATTATACCACATAAGAAATGAAGTGAGACGGGATAGAAAGAGAAATGAAAACGAAAGGCATTTGCATATAACATTTAACAAAACAAAAACTGCAAAGTACAATAAAAAACCGGAACCAATCATCAAGTTAACTCAACTATTGGTTCACTTAGATTGCGCACAAGTGGCAATTTACATCGTGGTTTTATCTCTCAGCAATGCCTATATCTTTCATTTCTGCTTTCTAAAAATATTGCCTTGCCACTCCACTTTCCAGATTATTTTTTCGAAGACTCAAAAAGTTGTATGCTTCATAAAATTACTTTCTTTAAATTCTGCAGGTTAAGTTTTTGTGCCAATTTGTCTGATATTGGCATGATATAAAATACTCAAATATTTCCATTAACAAAAACGAACTAATTTAGCGAATTATAATGTGAATCGAAAAGGGAACAGCTGGAAACACAAAACATTCACAAATTTCGTCAACAAGTTAACACAACAATAATGATATTAAAAACGGGAAAAAAGAAATACAATATGAGATCAATCATAAAGAGTTCAATAATTTAGTAATCAAAACCAACAATGGCATTAAATGAAACTATGTAATCGGTGGCAAATGGCAAACAATACCACTGGTATCAATTGCTGAATAAAAGAACACATTTCGAAGAGGATCATCTTTTTGTGAAAGTGCCTAAAACTTGATTATTTAAAGAAGTCAGAAGTTAAGGTTTTTTTTTCCTAGAAGAACTTGATTTTTTAAACAAATAACTGCTATAGACTTAAATTCCTGAAAATCTGTTTACGAAAATATATAAGCAGTCTTAATAATAATTTTAATTTCTAATGAAATCCGACCTTGTAACACTGCAAAAGTATAACTACTAGATTATGTTGAAGATAAGCAAGGCATTGCTATTAGCCAGCTCTTGTTCAGCAGTCCAAAGAACAGTTCTTAATACTCGACAAGTAACAAAGATAATTTCAACCGAGCAAATTTTGAAGGTTAATATCCCTTCCAGAAAGCTCACTTCTGCTTGTATTATATTATTCAGTAATAAATGGGAACTGCAATGTGAATATCAGACAATCCTTTTGTTAAACTGTCATATTTGAATAGAGGAATCCATTTTGAAACAGCATTTGTATTTAATTAGATTTCAATTTTCAGTTCAATATAGCAGCCAAAAGATCCAAATGAAAAAAGGAAAAACCTTTATTGCTTCCTGTGCTATATGTGCTCCAACGATAGCACATGTCGGGCTCAGTTGTGGGCCAACAAAACTGAAATAACTTCAAACCTAATTTTTTGTAAAAAGAAAAGCTACCCATGACAATCTAATAAAAGGAAAACGTTTCAATTATTAACCAAGTTGTTACTGAAAGAATCAAATTTCACTAACTGCGAAAAATATTTGACGTTGAAATATTCGTCATCAAGCATATGATTGCATTGCTCCAATTCTTTCTTCCACATTTCTATGAATTTCTCTTGCTCCACAGTATCATCGCTATCTTGTAGTCGAAGCATAACTAGAAAATAGTATTTTAATGGATATTTTCTATGTTTGCGTGATTACATGTGTATCTGCAAAAATTGCCACATTTTTCTGGATTTAACTATCTCACATAATTCGGTATTAAAGATTTAAAAGCAAAAGAGAAAATCTGCAACAAAACAAATTCTTGTTTGAAAATTCTACTATAGTACATTAGTACTTGGAGGAATACCTCGGACAGGGAAATATGATCGAGGCAAAATTTGTTTTGCCTTACGAATGAGTCTTTTATGAGTCCAGTCGACATTCCATGCATCGTCCCATAATGGGTATGAAAATGTCTAGAAGTAATTAGAATGTAAAGGCAAAATAAGGTACTTTTAATTAATTTATAAAATCTCAAATTCAAATAGAGAAAATTGTACAATATGCAATTGATGGCATTAACATATGCGAACTTTAGCAAATCTAAAGTTTTAATTTTATGTTCATTTTCAAACGTAATATAGACAGCATACTTTAGAAAGTTACCATATGTATTTTTTCATCATCGTCCAGTACAACATTCACTGATGCTTTATTTTCCTTTCCTCCTTTTCCATTTTCTACTTCACTGCCAATTCTTTGTTTCTTTGCTGGTGAAGAATCGGCCCCTACAGAGTCATCTTCCAGTATACCACCTGTCCTTACTTTTGGTACAGTCCTAAAATTTATGTTTCATTCTAAGAAAGATATTATCCAATCCTCAATTTAGTCAGAACAAACATTATCTTTATAGGATACAAGCATCAGTCCTGTAATGAGTAAAGAAGAACGCGAGGTATTTGATTTGGATTAATGGATGAACGGATAATGTATAATATTAAGAAGCTCAACAGATGATCTTATCAGTTTTGTATTCAGATATCAACGGCATATGAACTTACACTAAAAATGAACAGTCCGTAAAGTCGAAAAATGCGTATCCTATCCAACCAAAAACGCCTCCAGCAATAAATCTAAAATTAACTTTTAAAAATATCCATAAATAAAAAGAAACATTATCTCTCCTGCTGTTACCATTATTCAGGAAGCTTAAAAATCCCGGCTATATGAGTTACCCATATATTCCGCTAATAAATGGTACTATCGAAATATGCAGGTTAAATAATTCCTGCAATCACACCTATTAGATATAAAAGAAGATCACTTGAATAGTACACATAAGATGAAGAATTAAATCACTTCGTTTCAGTTCTGATTTGGACTATTCCTAATTCAAACTGTTTGGCTTGGATTAGTAATTCGCTGCTCATTTCTAACTATTCCGACACTTCAAAACTCATATAAGGTTACAGAAGTTAACAAAATCGCACGGTTTTCTAGCATTCCGACATATTTTACTGATTTGATTAATGACGGCGTATTTTTGATCAACCAAAATAACTAAATCGAAATTAGTGAAGAACTTTTCATCTTTTTCCGAAATATCACCCGTATCCACATGCAATTCCACATTCGGATTTAATAATTGACATTTCTGCCGTGATGCTTCAGCACGCTGGAAAATAACAGTCATAAAATCCGAATGTGGTATATGAGACGAAAAGAGAATTATATGAGTTATTGACTAGAGCAAGGAACAGAAAAGTTATAACAAATTTTAGTAAAATTGTGCTGAGAAATAACAAAATAATCTCCAAAAAGTTTTAATAAAAAAAATTCCAGTAAAACTCAATAGAATAACTGCTAAATAATGCGTTTCAATTTATGTATCAGAAAACATACAACTGAAATTACTATCCACAGATTTTAAAGTTGAACTTCATTACTAAGAAAAAACCTGTGAACTAAATTTTGATACTTCGTTTAATTAATTTATGTCTTAAGAACATACATTTTTGCCTTCACTGCCACGTTGCAACAAAAACTGACTGCAGTAATCATCCGCACAAATCTAAATTAAAAACACTGTTGGAATAATAACTAAATTAAATTTCATTCAACCAAGCAGGTATCCAAATTTCATATTCGCATATGTTCGAAATGATTGAAAATAGATTTTGAAGCTAGAAAAATAAGTTTAATACTCATAAGTTTGCACAGCATTCCACATATTTCTTTAAATAAATCAACAGGCGCTTACTGTTTTATTATCCAGTAGCGTTAGTGATTTCAATCCGGTCAACATTAAATTCTTTGAAACTTCACTTCCACATCCTGACAAACCAGCGACTAATACTGTCGAACTGCGTAATCTGTAAATGCTTGAATCTAACTGAACCTATTATTTCCGATAATTTTCAAATAATAGTTTAGACGAATTACTGTTTTTCTGAAGTTAATATGAAGAAAACCTGTTAATAATGCCCCTAAAACAACTTCTTATAACCCACTTCCAGTCATTTATTTGAATATTCCTCCTTACTCGTCGAAAAAATTGTCACATCGCTCACACGATTTTGAGAATGACGGAAAAATAACTGTTGGACAGCTCATTACGAAAGAAAAAATCCCAAAGATTCATCTCAAAGTTTAATTGCATCAAATTCCACTTGCTTTTCTATGATAAAAACACACGAAATCAGAAAAGAAAAGAAACGCTGAACTAATCTTTTACAAGTTACAATAAAATGTCCATATTTTAAAAAATTAACTAATCAATCTTTCACTTATAATAAATCAGTCCGTTCTGAAAGTGAAAAGATTAATTTCTGAAGAACTGACCTATTCTGAGTTTCCAAACCCCACAAACGTATCTGTCGATCGTAAACAGCTTTCTCATCCTCACTGATTGTATATGTATTAGCGGCTGTAAACCTACTGGAATTCGTTGACGACATCTTTTGAAGCAGTCCTATTTGGCTGTATTGCTAGGAAGGAAAAAATAATGTTAGAAAATTTGAAAATCTAAACTCACATGAATTTCTGCAATGTAAACTTTTCAGCCCAACATTTTAACTCGATTCATTCTTTTCTCTCTAATAAATATTTATCAAGAAACAACAGATATTATTTAAGCTATCACTTCCAACTGTTTACGTCTATCTCTTACACGTCGCACATCAACAACCCTATCCGCATTCACCCCAAAAAACACGTGCCATATCACGCAATCACGTGCTGTATTACGCGTCCATCCGTAAAGTACTGAAAAGTCAACTTGGAATAGGTAAACGTCAACCTGAGCCGTGGGGCGGGATGAGTTGTTTCCAAATTTGAAGTTAAATTCAAATTCTTTTAAAATTCATTTGTCAAGTTTGCTGACGTAGAAAAGTTTTTAATATGTAACGGAAATGTAATATTCAATGTTTAGAATAGAATATAAGACGAGCTATTCATTTCAGTGTATAGAATTAAATTTGAAATAAAAATATCTGATGCTTAGATAAAATGTGTTTATTAATCGAAATTTCATTTCTGATGAATGAGTATAGAAATACTACATAAATTCTTCATTTTAGGTATTAGCTAAAGAAATCAGGATGAAATTTTAAAAACTAAAGAGCATAATTTCACTTCCACAAGTTTTGTATTTTTTCAAATTGACGATTTAAAAAGTGTCATGAATATGAAAAATGCCCAATTCTCCACTATGTACCTCAAATAATTTTATTTATCTTATTATGTAATCGATGAACTGAAATTAAAACAGTTGACGGAATTTTATTTCAAATCATAAAATTGGCATTAAAGCTTCTGATATAAAAGAGTATAAGCAGAAATGAGCGCTTATCACATTATATCAATGAAACTTATCTTATCTGAATAAAAAATTGCAGAATTAAGTTAGAACAATTCTGTAATAAACTGCTGTTTACTTTAATTTAATATGATGGATGAATTAAAAAACTTCAAAACTTCGCTCATACTTTTTTTTTTTTCGTTTCATTTCAATGATTTATGAATTGATTTGTTGCAAAAAATTTAACAATAAATTATTGATTATTGTACTTCTAATTTGGAGCAAAAAAAAAAAGAGAGATTGAATTTAAGATTTTAAAGGTAATTGAAAACAGCTGACAAAATTAACAGATCCAGAAGATGTCACAACATCAGCCATCATTCATTGACAACAGCTGTTTCTAAGTAAGAAGGATATGATCCATGAGTTTATTGGTTGCACATGTTGTTGAGGTAATGATCACTTGTTATGTTTATAATCATTCATGAATGACCCCTTATATAGAATGTTAATTCATGTCAAAAGGTCGAAGGTCAACAAACAACAGTAGTTTTTTTTTTTGGACATAAAAAGTATAAATTAGTGATTTTGAAATGCTGCTTAAAAGGAAAAGAAAAATTTTTTTTTTCTTTTAAAGTTTTTTAAACATTGCAATATTTAATAAGATATATAAAATAAATTTTAGTAATTATAAAAGTATGCTGTAATGGATTTTAACTTTCAAGTATTGAGCATTAATTTTGTTCGGACATAAATTATTAAATTCATTTGAAATGTTATCAATTCTGAAAAAAAAAAAATCCATATAATAGAAAACATTAAGGAATTCGCATGACTTCTTGAAAAATTGACTTAACGTCGTGACGTACGTGAAGGTCTCTTGATCTGTTTCATTACATTTAAAATTTCATAGACAATAACCAATATCAAATTTTTTCCATATTTCATTACCACTTTTGCTGCTAGCTATCGCTGTTCAAATAAATTGAATAGTAAAAAATTTTGTAATTTGTAGTAGTTATTTGTAGCAAATCTATTTTTAAAACCTTTTTTTTTTCACAATTTTTAAAAAAAATCGAAATCATAAATTACTTACGAATTATTTATGAATGGTTTTCTTTTAAGAAAAATGAAGTAAATTTAAAAAAATACCATATTTAATTTTATCTTAAGAAAATTGAAATTTCACTAACCTATTTTGTTTTTATAAAGCTAAAATTAAAACTTCTAATTTAATAATATCCATATTTTCTTAGCTTTTCTCATACTTATTTTTTTACCTCAAGAAATCTCATTAATACTATAATTACAGGCAATTAAACCAAATCCAGTATAATTAGCTCATTAATTATGATGAGACTAACAGTAATCCAATTGCGCGAAACAGAACCGCCCATAAATGACATATCGAAATTTAAGCATATGTGAGGATATTTTAGTGGATAACCTGTTGTTAGCCAATTACTGTATGTTATAGGATTAATACTACTTTTTTGTTATTACATATATTTACAATTAAAATCTATAAAAATGTTATCAATTAGAAAATTTTTTTCTCATTATTTTCAGTGTTTCATTGAAAAATTTTTAATTCATTGGTTGAAATAAATTTTTTTACAATCTTAAATTTTGACAAATTTTTAGGTTTTGTCTAATTATACCCTTATTATAAGTATGAAAAATTAACTTACAATTTATGATGTATATTAATTTAATTTAATTTATTTTTGTAAGTCATTAGAAAGTAATGTTTAATTATGAAGCAAATCAATTTTCATATTCAGTAAATATCAAATATCATTTCATTATTAGTGCTGGCATTGGATAGTGCTTACGATAATCCAAATAATTATTCCACACGATAACATGCATTCACTTGGCCAAAATGCTGATCTAAGGAAGAAAGATGAAAATAAGCCAAGTTGCACTCATCGTTTTCCTTCCAAATCAAATGTTGAACGTATTACAAGAAGAAAAGCAAAAATTTGTAGGAAAGTTTTTTGGATTTGGAAAGTAGCAAACTCAATTATTCAAATTAAAGGTATGATTTCGAACTGAAAAATTATTTTATAAGTTCAGAAAAAAAAAAAGGAAACTTGCTGTTCACTTTTTAATAAATTATATGTTTATTTACTTAACTTTATCATGTCTTAATTTTTATTTGTTTATCATTTGACTGTGAAATAAAAAAGTGTAACTTTGATGTTTGATTACAAAAAAATTGAATCACCATTATTAATCTGTTAGATTCACCATTAATTTGTTAAATCATCATCATCACTCACTCACTCATTCATTAATAAATTTCAGATCAATACAACATAACTATAAATGAAATTGGTGCCAAATTAATTGCTCTTGCTGATGCATTTGATGATAAATTTTTTGGCGATTTAAGTATTTCAAAAAAATAGTATGTGACTATTTTTCAATATCATAAAATCTTTAATAAATTTGATAGCATTTAAACTTGTGATTTATCTTAATTGTGATAACTTTCATTTGTTCATACTGTATATTAAAAAAAATGTTTGAAGCCAAAAATGATATTTATGGATAAATGCTGCTCTAAAGTAATTAAATCGAAATGTATCGAAAGAAAAATGTATGAATTGAAAATTTTGCATCTAATTGATTTGTGGATTAGAAATCTATTTTTCTTTTGTTTGTTTTTTTTTTTCCCTTTTATTTCTCTGCTAATTGATCAATTGGTAATGTTAATATTAGTAAAAGGTAATGATGCAGGGATGTGCTCAGATAGCGGAAGCATTTAGATGTCTATTTAAATGGGAACAAAAATAAACCTTTTATGTTAATTAATTAGGTCAAATAATCAACAATTCAAGCTATATCCATTGGTAGAACGGCGGAATGCTTCTTTTCATCAATAATTTAACTACTGTAAAATTGACCGAAATAAAATGAAAATAAAAAAAGAAATAACTACATTCATTTGGTAATCCCGCCTACATGCCAAATGTCATCATTCAAATGTGTCGTTTTGACCATTTAATCGGCATCTGTTTTGTCGATAAAAGTTTCATTTATTATTTATAAATCATTGTTTGTTATTCATCATCAATAACATTACTAATTTATTGTCTTCAATAAATTACTTTGAACCATGTTCAATGCATATCTCAAGCCTTCAATATATCATCATCATTCATACGAGAAAACTATTTAACTAAAAATGGTAATTTTTGTAATGAATTCTGTTTTGCCATCCTTATTTAATTTTAATCTTAAAACTGTAATGCTAATAATGCACTACATTTCTGTCACATAGCTTCGGATATCGAAAGCTTTTACATGCTGATAAAGCTCGATTTTTAATTCATTAGAAATTGAATTCGCAAGAAATTAGATGAACTAACTGTGACTTTATCAAAAAATTTGATTGAAAAAGTCTAAATGCTGGAGTAGTCATAACCGAACTTTATTTAAGGTCAAAAAATGTCATAAACTTTACAGGAAACTGAGGTAATAAAAACTCAATAGACACATCGGATTATTATATCATATCATTGGAGTACAATGTTACGTCAGCTTTTCCGGCAACTAGCAAGATGTATGAATGAAAACATGCACAACTGACAAAACTTCATTAATAATCTCAAGACTTATTAGGGTCTTCTTTCCAGCACTTATGAACAAAATTTTCAGTAATTGTATTAGAGAAGAAAAAATATTTATGCATCGTATTTTAACAGACCCTCACACAAATTCAAAAGAAACACAGAAATTCAATTTCGAGAATAAAATGCCATAAAATATTTGTTTATAACTTTGGATACAGATTAAAATGTTACTCAAGGAAGTTATTATAAAATAGGACATGATTGAAAGAATAAGGACTCGAAGTGAAAGGAAGGCAGAAAGGAAGTGGAAAAGTAGGATTACAGATATTTTATAGATAAAGCAATTCTTTTTTTTGAGGGGAAAAAGAACAATGAAGTTTAGAATATTGGGAAAATGAAGAGATGTTTCAGAAGATGGAAAATGAAGAGACGTTCGGTAGAATGAATCAGAGAAATCAGAGCTTATTTTTGTTCCGTGTTTGAACGTCTTGGTTTCTTCGCCACCTCTGAAAACAAGTTCAAAGAACTATGAGGAACTAGAATAAAGATAGACTGTTTGGCTTTTCAAACGGTAGTA